TTGCGAAATTAAAAAAGGATTTTTTTTTTTTACAGAACCCTTCCCTGAATTGTTCTAATCAACTCCTCCAAAGTCTCATCGCTATCGGATAACGGTGTCATACCAAAATCGACTTTTATTTTTATATACCATATCGAGAAAAATCGCACCCTCCCGTGGCGCCGCCCTTGCGAAATTAAAAATGATTTTTTTTTACAGAACCCTTCCCTAGAGTTTTATAATGAACTCCCCAAAGTTTCATGCCTATCGGATAAACGGTGTCACTGCAATTCACTTTTATTATTTTTATATACCGTATATAGAGAAAAATCGGACCCTCCCGTGGCGTCGCCCTTGAGAAATTAAAAATGATTTTTTTACAGAACCCTTCCCTAGAGTAGTATAATGAACTTCCCAAAGTCTCATGGCTATCGGATGAACGATGCCAAACCAAAATCGACTTTTATTTTTATATACCTTATATAGAAAAAAACAAATCGCGCCCTGCCGGGGCGCCACCCCTGCGAATTTGAAATTTTTTTTTCGCAGAAACCTCCCCAGGAATATTCTCAACAACTTCCCAAAGTTTCACGGCGATGTGATGAGAGGTGTAGTAATGCATAAAGGACAAACACACAGACAGACAGACACACAAACATACATTGCTTTTTATATATATATAGATAGATAGATAGATATGGTATACATTCCCAGCATTAATTGATTGTGAACAAAGGGTGAGTAAAACATGTGCACCAAACATGTATATGTATATATATGTATGTATATATATTATATAGCTTTTTATATATATTATATAATTTATATAGCCTACATAATATATATATATATATATATATATATATATATATATATATATATATATATATATATATGGTATACATTCCCAGCATTAATTGATTGTGAACAAAGCACCTACGGGTGTTGCCTTGATGGTCGTACTTCTGCAACAGGCCCAAACAAAAGCGGATGTGGTAAGGGTGAGTAAAACATGCACAGACCACTGGCTAGGTGACTGGTGAGTAAAACATGTGCTCAGACCACTAGCTAGTTGACTTAGAAGTTCTACTCAGCTCCCCAGTTATGTTACGTTTCTTGTTGGCTATCTTATCTATTTGTCTTACTGGTTAGAACTTTTCATTTGAATAGGACGGAAATCTTTCACAAAAGGAAAGAGGTGCTATTCTCACCCCCCCCCCTTCTTCCCTAACACCCCCTATTTCGGCCACTGTATTTTATATTATAAACAAAGCATTACTTAAAATGTGATATTATTATTTCTAGAGTCCTACATTTACTATGAAAGCCATCACATTGAATCCTAAACAAATAATTCCCACAGTGGCAGACATCGATGAATGCGCCAGTTCTAACACTCCAGTGTGTGAGCAAATTTGCACCAACACTGTGGGCAGCTATTTATGTTCCTGTGGGCTGGGGTACACAATCAGCAGGAAAGACCCCGCACATTGTGATGGTCAGTTTTGATGCAGCCTGTGCGTGTGTGTGTGTGTATGTGTGTGTGTGTGTCTACGCGCGTGCGTGCGTGTGTGTAAACATAAAATCAAGTTTTATTGTGAGAAATAAAAACAACCGAGTTGTAAGCCTACAAAAAGTATATCATGCGCAACTTTTAAAAAATATTTCTCTAGTTCTTGGTCTAGTTTTTACTATACTTTATAAGTTTGCTTTAGCTAGAAAGGAATTAAAAGACCATTTAGAACCTTACGGTCCATAACGCAGAAGAAGTAGAGTTAACTTGTCTCAGTGACCGCGATATATGGTCAGCACTATGCCCTAGCCTGAGTCAGGTACCCATCAGAGCTGGGTGGACTCAGCGGTTACCTACGGACGCGTACCCGTTAGTAGTCTAGGTGTATTTTCATTTGGTAAAGGAGACTTCATGAATTTAACTCAATCTTTCTGATATAAATAGGCTCATAGTCAACCATTCCAATATTATGAACAATAAAAAAAAACGTTTTCAGAAATATAATATTTCAACTTAGTCTTTGTTCTTATACATATGTAAAAAAAAATCGCACTTAAATGACTCCGTTTAAGAAAACAAGGTCACACTTCTAAAAATACACAACTGGTAACACGGATGAAATAATCGTAAAATATTCCTCAGTCTGCGGCAACGCGTTTAACGGGTACGCTAGTTTAAAAAACAACCTATCATTATTATTGCTAATGATGTTTACAAATTGGCAGATGTTAATGAATGCACGTGTTTGACGAACCAAGCTTGTGAACACAATTGTACTAACACGGTTGGCAGCTTTAAATGTGCTTGTATGGAAGGCTACACAGTGGACAGTACAGACCCTACTAGATGTGTTGGTCAGTTTACACTGTGTATTGTAGTTATTTTAAAAGCTAGGGTGTGTTGTTTGTTTCACATAGTTCAGCATACACACACACCGTACACACGCACACAAACACAACATACCCACACTTATACACCACATCATACATACACACGCGCGCACACACCCTAAACACGCACACACACCATATACAACCACACACATCATACACGCTTACAAACTACACCACACTCACATAAACACACAAACACACACCATACTCACACAAATACAGACATACATACAAAAACACACACCATACACACCACATTACACCATTACACACACACACTATACACACCACATGAGTAACTGTAGAATATCATAATAGCTTGGTATGTCTCAAACAATGTGCTCCGTGCTTTATTAAATGTGTACAAAGCTTTTGAAAAATTAATAAGCTACATAATAGGGGCCGTTCTTAAATAACGTAATACTTCTATATGGGAAAGGGGTGGGGGAAGTTTTTAATTTTGTGCTGATGTGTAATGAGGGGGGAGATGAGGGTGGGGGTGGGTTCAGATAGTGCGATGTCACACTTTTGCCTTTTAAAACAGTAATGTTGGAAACTGAATTTTAGATTTTATTTCACGCATTAGAAACTGGTTTTTGTAAATTGTTTCAGAAACTGAATAAACTACTGATTAAACTACTGATTAAACTACTGATTAAACTACTGATTAAACTACTGATTAAACTACTGATTAAACTACTGATTAAACTACTGATTAAACTACTGATTAAACTACTGATTAAACTACTGATTAAACTACTGATTAAACTACTGATTAAACTACTGATTAAACTACTGATTAAACTACTGATTAAACTACTGATTAAACTACTGATTAAACTACTGATTAAACTACTGATTAAACTACTGATTAAACTACTGATTAAACATATGATTAAACTACTGATTAAACTACTGATTAAACTACTTTGTGGGACAAGCTCAGTCAATATGTTAGAAAAAAAATCGATGTTTTGATATAAAAATTTGAGAAGGAGGAAGGGGGGGGGGGGGGGGTGTAGTAAGCTGAGGTGTCTCATCATTTTTAGGGGTTGGGAGGGGGGGGTCTGGGTTTTGTGACGATGTTTGATGAAGGGGAGGCGTACGTAAAATTGTGAAAAAAAAAGTGTAACGTCATAACGTCATCTATGGATGATCCCCGAAGCGATATTTAGTCACTTTAGGGATGATCCAAAACATGCCAATAATACCTGCTTGCATTAATTATTTAAGTGGCAGCAAAGGACTGTGAAGAGAGTACGTACGGATGCTGCTATGACGGCAAATCTTTTGCAAAAGGCCCCAACAGAGCTGGATGTGGTGAGTGTTACAATTCGGTTGTTAAACTGGTACCAGCACATAGTGGCGTCGCTAAATCGGGTGTCACCCATTGCGGCACTTCGTGGTGTCCCCCCCCCCCCCTCAAAGAAACAAAGTATATATATATATATATATATATATATATATATATATATATATATATATATATATATATATATATATATATATATATATATATATATATATATATATATATATATATAGGATATATATATATATAGGACATATATATATACATTTTTTTTAAAGATTCTAAACTAAGATAAGCTTTCCATTAAAAAGTAAAGGGGACGGAGTCAAAGTAAGCTTACCTCCCCTGCCAACGGCATACAGAATTTATTTGTGTAGAAGAAGATGAGTAACCCATGTTTTACTTCCAACTGACAGGCGATTGCAGTTCATCCCCCTGCCAACAAATCTGCAAGAAAAATGGCAACGGATACACCTGCTCGTGTAACGCAGGTTTTGCTGTCAATGCAATCAATTCTTCAGCTTGTGATGGTAAGTGTTGTGTTCATTATTCAGCGACAACTTTTTTTTTTTTTTTTTTTTAAAACTCCAATAATAATTGTTGATCAAGACAACTGTCAGAATTGAACGAACCTTCGCAAATGGCAAAGATCTAGATCCTATTAGTAGGCGGCATATAGTTATACTATTTTATAGAGCTCTATGCTTATTTGAAAGTAGGACTGCAGATTTCTCAATATAGTGGCCCATTAGGCATTAGTATTAAGCATTAGGCCCTAAAAATGCGCTACATAAACTTGTAGGCTATTAAAAATTATTTATATAGTATATAGATCAAGGGCCTAGTTTATTGTATAAAGTATAAAACAATAGGATATAGGAAATAAACATTTAAGAGATCAGTACATTACTTAACATTGGTTTGAGTGCCTGGGTGGCCATTTGCCATTATTGATAATCATCAATATGTGAATTGGAGTGCTGGCGTACAGGTGTGATATATATATATATATATATATATATATATATATATATATATATATATATATATATATATATATATATTTATTTATTTATTTATTTCATATGATTCTTTTTGCTAATATTTTGCAATTTATTATGGTATAAAACATTGATTAGAGTAAGTGGCTCAAATATATTTTATTTTAAACTCAAAATACTGATTTACAATTATTTTGAATTTTTGATATCATGTTTAAATTTTTAGCTCAAGTGTAGTGTATAGAGTGAGGTATTATATGTATTAATATCAAACCCAACACAAATGTTGTATCAATTTTCAGACATCAATGAATGCACCAGTTCTCAAAGTCCCGTGTGTGAACATGTCTGCATTAACACAGTGGGCAGCTTTGAATGTTTGTGTAGGACTGGATACACCACCAGCAGTACAGATCACACCAAATGTGTTGGTTAGTGACATACAATCTTCATAGTTATATCAAGTATAGGCCTACACATACACAATAACATTCACAGTCATAGGCATTATTTCTTTTTATTATACCCAAAGTTCATATTACATATAAAGCAAATTGATAAAAGAACATCATCCACTTGAAATAATGTCTTTTGGTGTGCCTCTTTTAAAATAAACTTTTTATCCAATGTTTCTGGAATATTTTATTTATTATAATAAACTGCGATACAATTAGGCCTAATGATTATGTTTAAATGGCAGACATCAATGAATGTACCAACTCTTCCTTCCCTGTGTGTGAGCAAAACTGTACCAACACCCTGGGTGGCTTCAAATGTTCCTGCATGCCTGGGTACACCATCAAGAAGAAAGACCACTCCAAATGTGTTGGTCAGTATTATAATGAATGTGATTATTTAATTTAAAAAAAACGAAATTGTAAAAAGATGTTTGCGAATTAATAAATGACTAATCACATATACTTTTTAATAGTTTACCCCTGTTAACTTTCCAATTAATGGTCTGCATGTTGCAGATACAGCACTAAGTTTTTTTTTAAAGTGTGGAGTGTAGTATTGTATTTATTATTCTAAAATTTGTCATTTTTTCAATAAAATAAAGTTTTAAAACCACCAGATATTGATGAATGCACCACCTCTCTCAAGCATGTATGTGAACAAAATTGCACCAACACAGTGGGCAGCTTTAAATGTTCCTGTAGAGCTGGGTTTACCATCAGCAGCAAAGACCCCACCAAATGCGTTGGTTAGTGGCCAAATAATTATTTTCAAGTGAATGCGAATTATTTAATATACCTTAATCTATTTGAAATAGGGAGATAGAATGTGTTCTATGTTATATATCTTTAACCTCCCTTATCAGATGTGTCTTTATAAAAATTTGAACCCCCCCTCCCCTCCCCCTCCCCCCCCTTAACCTTCTGCTCCATTGGTCTGTGACATCATTGATCTAAAAAGCTTGTTGTAAAACCTTTTTCATAACAAATACTTAATCTTAGTGATTTCAAATTTGCTTTACTTATAAATGACAATGGAAATTACATAACAAAAACTGTTAGCTTTGCTTCTTAGTTACATCAGTTTTTGTCTAGACAACTTGTTGCTTTGTTTACATTTTGTACCATACAGCCCCTCACTTACCATCAAATTTATTTAATATAATGTTATACTGGGCTGCAAAATATACTACTATTTCATGATTATGATTTTTTCCCATTGCTGAACTTTCAAAATTTCTCCAGTTGAGAGAAATATTCCTCCCTCTGACAGGGGAACTGAATATAAGCTTGTTAATTTCAGCTGAAACAAGGAGCTGTGAAGAGAGTACCTATGGATGTTGCTATGATGGCAAGTCTTTTGCAACTGGTCCTAACAGACTTGGGTGTGGTAAGTTCAATCTCAAGGTAAACCTGGAATTAATATAAAACACTTGTCTAGCACAACTGAATTTAAGATAAAATGCATTGATATTTGATAAACAAAACTTATTAAACAGATGAGGTTAGTAAAGCTTGCAATATAATATGATAATATTTTAGAGATGAAATTCCAAATCTAATTATATTTTGTAGTGGAATATTTTTGCATCAATTGATTATACCTACAATATATAGGCTACAATGATATAGATTGAATAATTACAATTTCAATTTTGAAGAAATCTGTCAAACCAATTGTTATTCACTTGTAAACTGTATTATAATTTGATTTTAATACATTTATAATTACCCTTAAAACATTGTTTTTAGAAGTCTGTGTTGCTAATGAAAGGAAAAATATTCAGCAGTTTTCTAGATCTTCCATATCTTCTCATTTAACAGGTGATTGCAGTTCTTTCCCTTGCCAACAAATCTGCAGGAACACAGGCAAAGGCTACATCTGCTCATGTAGTCCAGGCTTTGTTGTCAGTGCTACTAACTCTTCAGCTTGTCAAGGTAAGTTTTTATCACAATATTGTTTTCAAATATTGCAATAAAGATCTTTATTTGTAAAAATCTTTACAAAACTTTCTTTTAAAACATGGTGCTAAGCACATAAGTATTTCGAGATTTTTAAAAAGCTCTCTTAAGGAAACAAAATACAATTATAAAGCAAGACTGTAATCAATTGGTTATGTTAGAATAAAGATAATTTTGTATGTAATACAAGTTTGTAAAAATCTTTCCAAATACGTTTTAATAAATAGTACTTACATTTTTAAAGTATTGTCTTAAGGAGAAAAATATAAATATCAAGAAATAATGTAATCATTGATTATGTCTTATCAAAAAAGTAAACTTTTAAATTGAAAATGTCATCATGTTTTTAATAAATATTTAGAACTATAAATCATAATATTTTTAAAATTATCAGATATTGATGAATGTACCAGTTCTAGCCGCTATGTATGTGATCAAATTTGCACCAACACTGTAGGGAGTTTTACATGTTCCTGTAGGGCTGGATACACCACTGATAGGAATGATGCCTCCAAATGTGTTGGTCAGTAGCCTGTTTGATTGATAAATTAGTTGCTCTATAATTAGCTCAAACTATATAGATATGAAGTTATAAAAGATTGTCAAGAATTGTCAATTTTTAATGTATACATTCTATAATGGAAGTAAACTGAGCTATGTCGTGTCCTTTGAGTTTTAATTTTTAATCAGCTATGTTAATAAATGAAACAATCTTTTGTCAGCAACTACAATCTGGGATTGTAATTTTTGTGAAATTGTTTTAAAATAAGTATTTTCTTAATCTTTCAACTAAAATTAAATAAAAAGATTGTAAAACTTAAAACATCCAACATTTAATGTGCGTGCTTTGTGAAATAGTTTTAAAATAATCATTTTCTTAATCTTTCAACTAAAAGTTTAAAAAATTGATTGTAAAATTTTAAACATCCACGACTAATTAAAGGGCATGTTTTGTGAAATAATTTTAAAATTATCATTTTCTTAAAGTTTCATCATCTTTAAAACATCCAATTTTTTTTTATCTAGGCAGTGTCACACTCTGACTTTTTGTAACAAAGTGTGAATTCATACTAATATTTAGTCTCTTTTTTTTTAAATTTCAATGTAAGATATTAATTTGCATTTAAAAGATTTTTAATGTTAGTTTTAATAAGAATTGATCAATGTAAATAATCCTTACCCAACATAATAGGCATTAAAAAAATTTGTGTTTTAAAAAAAGAAAATAAATTAACTTTAGGGAAGGAAGTTGGCTGAAGTGTGAAGTCACTCTAGAGGAGATTCTCAATTTTTTTTAATGAGTGGGAAAATGGAGTGGGAAAAGAAATCTTCAAAACATAGTAATGTGATTTATGGATGGCTCATTATAACTCTTTATAAAAAAATAAAACCTTCGTAATCATCAGACATCAATGAATGTACCAGTTCTAGCAAGCCTGTATGTGATCAAATTTGCACCAACACTGTTGGAAGTTTTACTTGTTCCTGTAGGGCTGGATACACTGTCAGCAGTAAAGATCCTACCAAATGTGTTGGTCAGTATTGTGGTTTTTAAAGTGATTGCTTATTATCTTACTGTATGTGATTAAACATTTGAGGTATAATGTTAACAAAAAACCATGAGTTATATTATCAGTTAGCTTACATAGAGAGCATGATCTTTTTAATGATGAGAATAAATAGCTTGACATAAAAAAACACAAATGCAGTCTTACAGTAGCATACTACATATATTATGAATAATCATTTATGTCAGTAATTAATTAACATCATTCATCTTCTAGTATTTCATATAATTTTGTAAAAAAGCTAAAAATGCACAAAAAGCTTTTTGAAAATTAAATAAACTAATCAGATTTTGACATTATATTAAATAATGATCTACTTTTAGTGTGGCCGATTTTATATATATATATATATATATATATATATATATATATATATATATATATATATATATATATATATATATATATATATATATATGGATTTGGACTTGGACACACATCTAGATATAGATTAGATACAGATACAGATTCTAAGATACAGCACATTAAATCCCGAATTCATTGATTTATTATCAGACATTAATGAATGTAGTAGCAAAAGTTCTGTGTGTGAGCAAATATGTACCAACACAGCAGGCAGCTATATGTGCTCCTGTAAGGCTGGATACACCACAAACAGGAAGGACTCCACCAAATGTGTTGGTCAGTGTTGATTTGTTTAGGGATAATTTATCTAAAGTTATTAAATAATATGTTACTGATAATAAAATTCTTTTTTTACATTACTGATTATTTTCACTGTTAATATTATGCTGATGAATATAAATAAAAATAATAACATTAAAGAACATTATATCATTATATTGTCAGCCTACCTATTATATTGCTTACTTTATAGTTATAAAGATGATTAAGCTTATGTTCTCGTGCCAAATAAACAGCATTATGAATCTAGTTGCTGGAAAACTTTCAGTCATATAAAAAATGATATTTTAGCTCACAAACAGACTGATTGATTTATAATTATTTTTTTGTTATATAGAGATCTTGTGTTCAATTTTATTAAAGGATTATTTTTTTCAAGTATTTTAATTTTTTTTTTTAATTATGAGATTTTTTATAACCTTTATACATTTAACAAAGGAATAACACCATATGTTACTATTTTATTCTACTACAAATGTATCTCAAAAATTGTGTTACTTCATTCTAATACAAATATTACTCTAAAATTGTGCTATTTCATTCTAGAACAAATAGAGCTCTAAATTCATGTTCAACAAATAGAGCTCTAAATTCCTGTTCATACATTTTCAGACATCAATGAATGTACCAGTTCTATAAGTCATGTGTGTGACCAAATATGTACCAATACACCTGGCAGCTTCACATGTTCCTGTAGGGCTGGATACACCAAAAATAGTACAAACCCCACTAAATGTGATGGTCAGTAGTGAATATTTTATAAAAGTCAATTTTAATTATTTATTCTTTACATTTTTAGTTGGGGTAAATTTTGCAAAAGATTCATTTTTAGTAATATTTTTTTTTATTTTATACATTTCAATTCAACATGCAAATTCTGATAAATTTGACTTAATATATATGTAGTTTGTTTATTTTAGGAATGATTGCGGTGAAAAAAGAATCATCCTTTTTTTTTTCCATTACTTTTGCTTTGGTATGGGCTTATGACTATCAAATTATCATTTTTTTTTCTCAGCCCAACATAACTAGAGACTTCTTTTATGGCTACTTTGTTTCATTTTCTTTTTAACTTTCCCAAATGTTGTCTTGGTCCCCTTTCATCTCTCATCTTCTCACAAACAAATACAATGTTTTGTATAAGTTGAACAGTTTGATTACAAGTGGTCACTGGAAACTCTCTACATGCTAATTTTTTTTTCAGTCAGACAAAGTTGTTTAATCTTCTTGAATCCTTGACTTGACATAATATTCTTTCTCTTCCTTTTACTTTAATAAGATAGCATGGTTAAAAAACAATTTACATTATTTCTTAAAGGAGATTTCTCTAATTATTTTCTTTAAAAGCTATTAACTTCATACAACCATCAACATTGTTTCTCGTTTTAAGCTATTTATTATGAAATATTTATCACTTTTTTCAATTTTTCATTCTTGATGTTTTTATTTGTTTTTAAACTCTTAACATTTTGCAATATTAACAGCATAATTATGTAGGTTGAAATTAACAATGTAAACAAAGAAGGCACTGTATCATAGATGTTAGGGTATGGGTTTGTCCACACTACTGTCCAAACTCCCCAAGCCATGATAGTAAAAAATGGGAAAAATCTTTGTTTAAATGTTTTTAAAGTACATCATAATTGTTATCAGTTTGGAGAATAATATAGTTTTTTTAATATAAAAGTTACATTAAACCTGCAAATGTTAATAATTATCAGACATCAATGAATGCACCAGTTCTAAATCAGTTTGTGAACAAAATTGCACCAACATATTGGGCAGCTTTACATGTTCCTGTAGAAAAGGCTACATCACTAGCAATAAAGACCTCACCAAATGTGTTGGTGAGTATCACAGTTTTAGTATACATAGTTTTTGTCTCTCAGAATCTCACACACAGTTTTAGAGTAAATATTTGTTGTCTCTCAGAATCTTAATTACAAATTGTAAGAATAAATTTAAAAAGGAGTCATTGTAGATTTATTATAAAAATCTTAATTACAAATTGTAAGAATAAATTTAAAAAGGAGTCATTGTAGATTTATTATACTTACATTTTGAATGGCGATCATTGGACTGGTCTGTACTTAGACTCTTTTTTTTTTTAAAAATGTTATACATATTGTTTAACTTTTATTTATGTACCACACACTACTTAGTTTGAATTTATAATAACTAAAACTTTGAATAAGATTTTTTTGCATCATATTAATCAAATCATTAAGATAGTAACATTTAATACAGCATTATTTGACCTAAACTATTAAAACATTATCAGACATTGATGAATGTACTAGTATGAAAAGTAGTCCAGTATGTGATCAGGATTGTATCAACACAGTGGGCAGCTTTAAATGTTCCTGCAGGACTGGATTCACCATTAATAGCAAAAACCCTACCAAGTGTGTTGGTCAGTAATGATAATTTAACTATAATTATAAATTATTCATATTATAATTTTTAAATTTCACCAAACAATCAGATTTTATCACTCAGTAAAATGTCTTTAATTTATTGAATTATACTTAAAATCAATGCTCTAAATAGTATAATAATGCTCAACTCTTGTTAAACTTACTGTTGGGTTCTAGAATCTAGGGGTATATAAATAACAACAGACAAATACGACGTATACAACAATAACACTAACACTCTATAATAACAATAATAATAAGATATTTAATAATATATACAGTACTTAAATAATAAAAGGATCAAAACGGGTCTACAACATAAATACAATACTCAACACCACGTTCCATGTTCCACGTCCACAGCCACACTACAACTAACTGCTTCACACACTAGCACACGCTCTGACACCCGTCACCTGACACACCTCACGTGAACACCTCTCGCACCATGTAAACACACTCAACCAAGGGATACAACTATACACCAAAGGGAGGGTACCTGTCGTTCCAGCACACAACACACACACACACAAGCAGGGGACATGTAAGGGACGTAACACTTACAATTTCAAAATTATTTAAAAAATTTAATTTTCGATGTTTTTTTCTTATTAGATATGTTCAATTAAAAAGCATGTATGTTTATTACATTGAAATACATCAATTTATCACCTAATGTTGTCTTTATATTGTCAGACATCAATGAATGTGCCAAGAGTTCTGTATGTGAACAGAATTGTACAAACACAGTGGGCAGCTTTCAGTGTTCATGCAAGGCAGGCTATACCATTAACAGTAAAGATATCAACAAATGTGTGGGTAAGTGTTATTTTCTAATTAAAACATTATATAAATCTTAAAATAATAATTTTCTTTTTTAGAAAGATGTATAGAAGTATAATCTAATTCACTCTAATTATTAAAATCAGTGAAACAATTTTAGCATAATCTTCATATTTTAATTGTGTTTTGTACTTGTTCTGTAGAAGAGGTAGAAAATTTATATGAAAATGTTGATAAGCTTTATGTAACAGGTTTATTGAAGTCATATTATTATTTTTTATAAAATGCCTTTTTACTTTCAATCATTTCGACAATTTGCTTAATAACCTCAGCTGCAAGATCAAACAACTTTATTGTTTGCAATTTTAGAAGGAAATAATTTACAAAGAGACTCTTTCTAAAAAATGTATTTATGAAATGCCATAAATTATTTTATTTTTAGCATAATGCTGAAAGTTGATAAATTACGGTTAAATACAGATCATTTTAGGTGTGTATTTATAAACATAAAATCTATTTTAATCATCAAAATGTTTGCCACCTGTCAGATATCGATGAATGTACCAGTTCTATCAGTCCTGTGTGTGACCAAATTTGTAGCAACACAGTGGGTAGCTTCAAATGTTCTTGTAGGACTGGATACACTGTCAACAGCAAAGACCCCACCAAATGTGTTGGTCAGTTGGCGTATTTGTTATTGTTTCATTTGGATTTATTCTTATTTCAATTATCAAGTTTTTATGAAATTATAATCTATATTATTAATACAAACTAAAAAAAATTTTCCATGCTGAAAATTTATTGTATCTATGACATTCTTGTATATGCGTTGTTGTTGATGTTACACTAACATATAGGTTGTGGTTTATGTGTAGAGAATAATGTATAAGTCATGGGTTACATGTTAAGAATGAGCATGTGGTTGGTTTAAAACAGATCAGCTAATGGCTGTTTTTAGGGCCTACATTTAAAAGTTCTAAAGATTGTAAAATGTATGTAACATATGTATATATATAAATAAATAAATAAATAAATATATATATATCTATATATATATATATATATATATATATATATATATATATATATATATATATATATATATATATATATATATATATATATATATATATATATATATATATATATATATATATAAAATAGTCTATTTTAAAAGTGATATTTAGCAGTCTAAAAGTTAATCTCTAAATCTCTTGTGTGTGTGTAATTGAATATGTTTCAATATATTACGGCGTATTGGTAATCCTATCTATGTTTATAAATTGTCAGACATCAACGAATGTAAAAGTTCTAAAAGTCCTGTATGTGAGCAAGAATGCACCAACACAGTGGGCAGCTTTAAATGTTACTGCAGGCCTGGCTACACCATCAGCAGTAAAGACCCCACCAAATGTGTTGGTTAGTATTGCAAGTTTACACTGTAAGATAACAAAAAATTAATGACAAGGCATTTTGTTTTATTTTAATCGATTAATGTATTAACATATTTTCTTTGCATAATCTTGACCATCCACCATCACTTGGTAATCTGGAGTTGTTAGCCCTTACTAATGTATCTTAGAAATCTCAAATGAAACATTCTGTGTTAATGATAAAATCAAGCTATTTAGTAATTCAAAGATCACTTTTTGAAGATCTCAATGAATGTACCAATACCATCCTCCCTGTGTGTGAGCAGAACTGTACCAATACTGTGGGCAGCTTCAAATGTTCCTGTAGGGCTGGATTCACCATCAATAGTACAAGCCCAACCAAATGTATAGGTCAGTACTGAGAATTTTCATGTGATTATGAATATCTTGGTTTGGAAAATTGTTGGTTTTAATTTTTTTTAAATAATTTTAAATTTATTTATTTAACTTTTAATTACAAGAGTATATATTTTGATATGCAAATTAATATTTGTCCATTGTTAGACATCAATGAATGCAACAATTTTGTCAAGCCTGTATGTGAGCATCAGTGCACCAATACAGTGGGCAGTTTCAAATGTTCCTGTAGGATTGGTTATGGCATCAGCAAAAAGGACCCCACCAAATGTATTGGTCAGTATCTGTTTCTTGTTGATGCTAATATTTATTAATGTTGTTAAAAGCATTGTTGCAAACTATTTGTAAGTTGATTAAAAAATTATCTGACCATTGTTTTATTATTAAAATTGATTATCTTGATAGAAAGTCATCTTGTCAAACTTTTCCATCCATTATTCAATAAAAAAGTTTTTTGACATAAGTGGCTTATACTATTATTTGTGTTATATGTTTATTTCTAGATAACTGTTTAGATTAGTGGCTTTTTCACTTTACATTCACCTCTATCCGCAAACACCAATCTACTCTCAACCAATATCAGCATGAGTATTTTTTGTAATGGACATTATAATCAAATGTAGTTTAGATTCATTGCGCTACTGTATTGGATAAAAAGACATCTTTTACTTCTAATCAACAGCTGATTGCAGCTCATACAAATGTCAACAAATTTGCACAAACACTGAAACTGGTTACAAATGTTCATGTGGTCCAGGTTTTGCTGTCAGTAAAACTAACTCTTCAGCTTGTGATGGTACGTTTTAAAAAAAATTCATGTTCATGTTAGACCGAATTCATTAATATCTAAATTAAAAATCTTGAATAAAAAGACTGTTGTAAAAAAAACAACCAACTTTTGTAAACAGCTTGGTGAATGCAAGTTTTCTATTGTAATTAATATGACATTATTTACTTAAAAAGATAATTTGACAGGCACAATATTTTTTATAGTAATAATAATTTAAGACAATTTAATAATTTCATACAAAGCTCCACTGAAAAAAAGCCTTAGTATGAAAGTCCAGCAGTATTAATTTTACTGTTTCTAAAAATGTCAGATATCAATGAGTGTACCAAGTACAGCAACCCTGTGTGTGAGCATAATTGCACCAACACAGTGGGCAGCTTTGCATGTTCTTGCAGACCAGGATACACCATCAACACTAAAAACCCTGGCAAATGTGTTGGTCAGTTTTATTTATTAGTTTTATGATAAAAAAATTTAAATTGAAGTACAAACAGATCATGACAAAAGCTATATGTAAAGTCTATTTTGTGTAAAAATGGTATGATTTTCAATAAAGTAGCTCTTAACTATTCTAATAATTTGTTTAATAGTGTTAATTCTGTTCTGCTTTGCCTCCAATTATAATAATTATTTTCTACTTATGTTTTATCTTGTAAAAATATATATTCAAAAGAAATTTCTGATATTTTGTTTTTGGAGTAAGATTAATTTGTAAACACCACACCCAGCCTGAAGATTCCTTAAATGTTTATACATTAACAGACATCAATGAATGCACCAGTTCTAAAACTCCTGTGTGTGAGCAGAATTGTACCAATTCATTGGGCAGCTTTAAATGTTCTTGCTGGGTTGGGTACACCATCAACAGTAAAGAGCCCACTAAATGTGTTGGTCAGTATTAAAGAATAATTTCTATTAATTATAAATCTATGCCCAAATGTTAAATTTGATGATGAACTATTAACAAAATGAAAATTTTGTCAGACTTGCAAATTAGATAAGTGATGTGCTTATTCATTTTACTGTGAAGAGATGAATTTCTATTGTTTTATTTTGTTGTGATAAAAAAACTGAACAAACCTTTAAATAAATGATTATGTATTAATTGTTTATTCTATTTAGTAGTATATTTAGTAGCACTACAAATCTTAAAAAATTTTTTTTATCAATTATCAGACATCAATGAATGTAATAGTTCTAAAAGTCCTGTTTGTGAGCAGAATTGTACTAACACAGTGGGCAGCTTTAAATGTTCCTGTAGGGCAGGGTACACTGTCAACAGCAAAGACCCCACCAAATGTGTTGGTTAGTATGAGTCATACAATTACAATTTTTCTTGGTTTTCAATTGAAACATTATACCTGTGTTTAAAATAGTCTGTCTAAACTAGCCCATAACAAAACAACTGTATAGTAAGCACAACTGATACAGTTATAATGAGGCATTCCTATCAGTTACTCTGTTAGTGTAATGATGTAGATTTATGCAAGTGCTAAATTCAGGGCTAGAATAAAGCTAGGATAAAAACTGTTAATATCGCAAGTTACATTAGTTGGCCTACTAGAAAAAAAAATGCTTATTTTACAATTTCCAGATATTTTTAGAAGTACTGAAAAAGTTATAAATAAAAATTTAAAGACTCTAGTTAAATTTTAATATAATGTGAAATCCAATTTGCTACCTACCATGCATGTTCGAATTCAATATTTTTCTTTTTTATCAATAATTATCCTGCTTAAAAGGCTTTCAATAAATAGGGTCTTACTTAATATAAAAACATGGAACAAGTTTTCTACAACACAATTACATTTTTTTCCCTTTACACATAATTACAATAAACAAATAAGCATTTGTTTTTTTATAACTTTGTTTTGTAAACTATACTTACAGTATAGTTTTTAACATACAATGTTTAAAGATGCCATAATATTAATATTTATACTATATGGGCAGTGATGAAAAAACTATTCTCAGACTTAAATCTTTAATGTGTTACTGTGAAATGTAAAATTCAGAATTTTAATCAGAATTTTCCAAATGTACTGCCAGACATTAACGAATGCATCAGTCCTGGTAATTGTGTATGTGAGCAGAACTGTACAAATACAATTGGCAGCTTTAAATGTTCCTGCATGCCTGGGTACATCGTCAACACTAAAGCTCCCACTAAATGTGTTGGTCAGTAGTAAGATTTTTAAATTGTTGTGCATTTTGTAAAGCAGGTTTTAAAAAAATATTTATGATTTTTACATAAGATATATGTTACGAGCTATATGTTCTTTATTTAATTTGCTTTGAATTATCTATTTATTAAAGGAAGAGTTCTAAGACCCGCATCTCAAAACCTTTTAACATTTACACTAAAACATAACTTATACTTTAAAAAAGTTTTGTCTTCTTAAAGCTCTCAATGTTTGCTTAGTTTGAACTAAATTAATTAATGATAAATATTATTAATAACTCTCCAGACATCAACGAATGTACCAGTTCTAAAACTCCTGTATGTGATCACAACTGTACCAACACATTGGGCAGTTATACATGTTCCTGTAGGACTGGATACACTAGCAACAGTAAAGATCCCAACAAATGCGTAGGTGAGTTGTGGTTTTCTGAAATACTTATTGTTAAAGTGTTAAGGAAAATTGGCATTGAGACATTGTCAGCATAAGATTTTAAATAGTCCAGAATCTAGATTTATGTCAGCTAACTATAAGTTACACAATCTGCATAATTATTTAATTTAGAGATGTCATTAAAACCCATTATTATGTGCTATAATAAAACTTTCATTGAGTTCTAATAAATCCTTTCTAAAACAATTCTAGTATGTTGTAACAAAAATAGAGCTTGGATCTCAAATGACTTTATAACAATTTACATATACAAAAAATTCATCACTTCTAAATTTTCAGACATCAATGAATGTACCAGTTCTAAAACTCCTGTCTGTGAACAGAATTGTACCAACTCAGTGGGCAGTTTTAAATGTTCCTGTTGGAATGGGTACACAACCAATCAAAAAATCCCTTCCAAATGTGTTGGTCAGTCATTTTGACCCTTTATTTCATCAGTTGTTTACTGAAATTAATGTAAAACATTGTAGTATCATGTTATAGGTCTGTAACTACTACAACAGTGAACCTTTTGAATTACCATATTGAGTTTTTAAATACATGTTTACTATGTACTAAAGTTGATTGTTGTAGATAAAATTAAATTGAAAAAAATGAAGAGATGGAATTTATAAATGATGTTATATTTTTGGAGCATGGGGGGTTGTGTTTTATTATTTATGTGTGACAAGCAAGAATAGGGGATTTAAAGTGTGACATAGTACTGTTATTTGAACTTTTAAAAGGGAAAAATTGATATTAATTTAGAATTATAGTTATTTCGGTGTGCAGATTATTATATTTTAAATATAAATTCAGCATCAGTAATTCTAAAGATGTTCATTACTTGTCAGACATCGATGAATGTACCAGTTCTAAAAGCCCAGTTTGTCAACAAACATGCACCAACACAGTGGGCAGCTTTAAATGTTCCTGTAGGGCTGGGTACACTACAAACACTACAGATCCCTCCAAATGTGTTGGTCAGTATAAGGCTAAATTATTTTAATTCAAACATTTTGTTCAGGTACTTTGTTTAAAAAAAATTAATTCATGATTAGTCGGTAAGAAGCTTAACTTAATTCTAACATTTTGTTCAGGTGCTTTGTTTAAAAATATTTAATTCATAACTAAATGCTTTGAGTTGATGGTTGAGAGCAATAAGACAGATACATTATGCCTACAATAACAGCATGACACAGGATGTGGTTGAAACACCATGATTGATAGGACCCCCCTCAAGGGGCATTACTCTAACTACAATAGTGCACAAGATACAATTTCTCCTCTAGTGCATACCTGTTATATTTATGCGAACTACATATATTTTATTATCTATAGAATAAATTTACAACTCAGCTTTAATTAAAGTGTTTATTTATAATTAGTCTGACTTTTTAGTTTGAGCCTTATTCACATGTACACACATAATCTCATCTCTGAAAGCATGCAATTGTGTAAATGTTTTATTTTAATGAATTGATTACCAAACCTGATTTAAACTCTGTTTTAGTTATGTATGTTTGTATTAATAACTTTAAATTACTCATTTCTTTTGAAGCATTGCAATAATCTACTTTATTGTTAAGTTAAATTTTTTAGATTTAATTTATAGAATTGATTGTCAGCTGCACTTGACTGTATGTGATATAATTTCAATATCTTTAACAAGTGCTTCTGTTGGGTCTAATTCAAAATGTAAAATGTTTTGAGGTTTCAAGACAAATTTTGAGGGCATTGTTACTTTTGATAAAATTAAAAACAGATAAAGATACATTTATAAATTATGATTATTTTTGGATGGATTGGACACACCCTTAGAAAAGAAGAAGATAATATAAAAAAAGCTATGGACTAGATACCTAGGGAAGAAGATAAGTGGTCTGGCTTAGATATCATGGAGAAGAAAAGTAGGAGATGAGGCAAAGGCCACTGGGCTCACGTGGGCTCAGATAAGGAGAGCTGTCCAAAACCGAATCAGGTGGAGAGGTGTGATTGCAAACTACCCTAAACACCACTTAGATCCAACTATGATTCAATGAAAAATAAAACTTTTATATTTTGTTGTTGGTTTAAGATATTTTATTTTTATATATACCTTTTTAATAATTAAAGTTAATACATTTTAATTAGATCATGTAAATTAAATTGGAAACTTTTTCAGATATCAATGAATGTACCAATTCTGTCCATCATGTATGTCAACATGATTGCAATAATACAATTGGAAGCTTTAAATGTTCCTGTAGACAAGGATTCACAATTAGTGACACAGATCCCACCAAATGTGTTGGTCAGTAATGGACATTTGACTGAGACAGTTCACTATTGGACATTTGACTGAGACAGTTCCCTATTTATTGGACATTTGACTGAGACAGTTAACTATTTATTGGACATTTGACTGAGACAGTTAACTATTTATTGGACATTTGACTGAGACAGTTCACTATTTATTGGACATTTGACTGAGACAGTTCACTATTTATTGGACATTTGACTGAGACAGTTCACTATTTATTGGACATTTGACTGAGGCAGTTAACTATTTATTGGACATTTGACTGATACAGTTAACTATTTGGACATTTGACTGAGACAGTTAACTATTTATTGGACATTTGACTGAGACAGTTAACTATTTATTGGACATTTGACTGAGACAGTTCACTATTTATTTGGACATTTGACTGAGACAGTTAACTATTTATTGGACATTTGACTGAGACAGTTAACTATTTATTGGACATTTGACTGAGACAGTTCACTATTTATTTGGACATTTGACTGAGACAGTTAACTATTTATTGGACATTTGACTGAGACAGTTCACTATTTATTGGACATTTGACTGAGACAGTTGACTATTTATTGGACATTTGACTGAAACAGTTGACTATTTATTGGACATTTCATTAGAAAATAAGTACAGTTATAGAAAACACAGTCTAGAAGTAGCTATTGAATCACCACAATTACAATTATTGAAAACTTTGCCCGAAAATACCTTTTGAATTGTCACAAGTTAAATGACAGAAAAAGTCTAAATTCAACAGCTGAATCTCCACATGATACACTGTTAAAAGCTTAGCCCTATCCACAATCACAGTGTCAATGGCTAGGCCTATGCAATAAGTGATCAAGTTGGGCTTGTGGGGTAATAATTTTATGCTGAGAGATTTTAGTTGGGCTCCAACTGGTTAGATGACATTGACAATATTTTTGTTGGCTGAAGTTATTTAAAGAATGATATTTTTTTTAACTTTATATTTTTCATAATAAAAGGAAATGGTACAGTGTTATGGAACAAGACTTACAACCTAACTTTCTACAGTCTGTAACAATAATTTCCAGTATGTTAAAATGTTTTGTTTAGAAACCAATGAATGTGCATCAAGTCCTTGTGCTCACAACTGTACAGACACGTTTGGAGGTTTTGTTTGTTCCTGCGCTGAAGGATTTGTTGTCAACTCTAAAGATGTGACTAAGTGTGACAAAAGTAAGCACATCTATTACATCAGATGATTAGATAGATCCATTATATTCAGCAATTGTGACAAAAGTAGGTAGATCTATTACATTGAGCAATTGTGACAAAAGTAGGTAGATCCATTACATTGAGCTATTGTGACAAAAGTAGATAGATCCATTACATTGAGCTATTGTGACAAAAGTAGGTAGATCCATTACATTGAGCAATTGTGACAAAAGTAGGTAGATCCATTACATTGAGCTATTGTGACAAAAGTGAGAGATCCATTACATTGAGAAATTGTGACAAAAGTAGGTAGATCCATTACCTTGAGCAATTGTGGATAAATTTGGTAGATTTATTCAACCAACTGATTGTGATTCATTATATATTATTATAGATTCAAACTAAAAAATACATTATTCCACTTGCCCATTATGCTTATAAAAAAAATGTTAGCATTGATTTCTTAAAATTTGGTTCTTTACATTTATTCTTGAAGCAAATCTTTTTTCTATGCTTGTAGTTTTAAGATGATGTATATAAAAATTCTATAATACTCTAAAAAAAAGGAAATTTTTAAAATTCTCTAGTTGTGCCATGTAAGACTCTGGCGGATATCATCTTTGCTATGGATGCTTCAGGCAGTATTGGACTAGACAACTACAACATACAGCTGGAGTATGCGTCACGTCTTGTTTCACAGTTCAACATCAGCAAAGATGCGGCTCAGTTTGGTGCAGTTGTCTTTAGCACTGATGTACAGGAGTTGTTTGATTTGAACAAGTACAACAATCTCAAGTCTATTCAGAAAGTAAGGGCTTAGGCTATTACAAACTTCGATTTAATTAAACTTAACTAAAACTTTTTTTTTCAAATTTTATATTTATTTACTCCTCACCTTTGCATTTATTTTGTTAGTATTATACTCTACCAAATAAATTGACATTTATTTAGAAAATATTTTAATCAACTTTTCAAATATTCTTTACACTTTAGTGAGAGCCATTTGTTTTCTTAGTTATTGATTTTTTTTTCGTAAGTATTGATTTTAAACAACCTGTTACTTCCCCCCCCCCCCCTCAATGCAGGCACTTCTAGCTGCCCCTTACCCTGCCAGCACCACTATGCTGAACCTGGCCCTTGAGCACATTGAAGAGGATAAAATGTTCGATGTTAAATCTGGTGGTAGGCCTGACTCTGCCAAGTCAGTCCTCATACTAACGGATGGCAAATCCACAGATCCAGTCAAAAGTAGGTCAAGCTGATGGATACCAACTCAGAAGTTTTTCACTGATTTGATGAGACTATGAAGTCGTACTGGATAGTGAACTAGTTTGGTTTGAATTGAGACAAAAAATAGTGATCTTAAGTTTGCATCTAATTTTTTTTTAAATGTTACAAATATAACTGCGTTTAGTTAAAAAAAAACTGGTAAAATAACAGTCATCTTTCAGATGTGCACTTAAAATATTTAAAGAAAAAATAACAACCCTTCAGGTACAAGTTTATTTTATTTAATTTTTTTTTTTTAGAAAGAATTTGGTTTATTAAAAATATTTTTTGATCAGACTTAGTTTTTATTTTGTTTTTCAAAAAAAAAAAAATAATTGAAACATGGATTGTAATATTCTCAGCTGAAAGCGCAGTGAAAGTCCTGAAAGACCAAGGCATTCATATAATTTGTGTTGGTATTGGGGAAGAAGTTTCTGTGAGTGAGTTGAAGAAGATAGCCAGTACTCCTGAAGATGTCTACCAGACGGACAGCTTTGAGAGCTTAAGCTATGTCCAACAAAAGTTGGCCAAGAGCCTTTGTTAAACTTTTCACCTAGCTCTCGCCTGAGGTAATGTCCTGTGTTCTTTTTTAACCTAAGTGTTCTTTAAGTTTTTATGTTACTTTGTACTGCAACTGAAAGATACTCAGAGTTTCACTTCCTAAACTACATCTCTATTTGTTTAACTTTGATGGATGAAACTGGCGCATTTTCATTGAGAAATGTGTACTTAAGTAAACATTCTAAATGTTGACTAGAGTGCTCAAACTTGGCAACAATTAAAACCCAATTGACTAAAAACCCAACAAGGTTTCAACTTTTTGCAGACATGGCCATCTATGAACTCTGTGTTTCAATCAATTTAGTCTTGAATTTAGCAATTGGTGACAATAAAATAACAAAACACAGCTTCTTATTCAAGTTACATATTTTAAACACAACATTTTTCAAGCATCATTCAATCATTTTTATCATAGGCTGTATTATTATCTGCTAAGTTGTGAGATTAATTAAACACTATTTAAGTTTTGTGTTTTATTACAGGTTATGATGAAGGACTATGTTCTGAATTTTATGTGATGAATTTCTTCTTTTGTGTCTATTAATGAAATTATTAAAAAGTAGGCTGCTAATAATAAACATAACCTTGAAGCTAATCATTTATCTCTGAAATGTTTTATTTTTCATTTGTTGTGTTTTAAATGGAAGTAGCTTCCTGGATCAGTCAAGTAAATGTATCCTTCTCTTGTACTAGTACTATAACCACTGACCAAAAAGTCCCAAGTTCGAATCCCGGGTTCATGTAAATAGAACGTCACTTACACCAACCTTTCATGAGTACATAACACATCATGGAAAGGAGGTTGGGCAGAGCGCTGGCCCCACTATCCTTTTCTATGCAGATGACACTGAAACAGATGAACTCTACTTCACCTGTCACAACACCTGTCATGTTCAAAAGGTTACTGTACTTTTTACTTGTACTTTGACATGTGCAAAGGTTAGAGTGAGACTAGACACTCATACATTCGTAACATTGTATTATTTGTATGAAGTTGCAAAATTTGAAGTTCTACTGCCAAAAGTGCTCTCCACAACATTTCTACTAAGATAATTTAGTAATAAAAAAGTGTAGGCCTAGCAAAAACAGTTTTTTTAATTTATTCACTACTTAAAATAAAAAGATATTTATTGCTCTACTATTAATTAATTCTGTTCAAGAGCTGCACATAATTAAATAATTATTTATACAAATAGTTTTATATATTATATATAAATTAAAAAAAATTGCAAATAAAGACATTCAATTGAAATTCTAAAAGTAAACATAAACAAATTGCAATTTGATAGATCTATCAAGAGAAAGTGTGATTTTCTTTTGTTTTCAAGAGAGTGGATCCGTTATAAAATGTTACTGTAGACTTGATCACTGTTTGTGAGATATCTGCTGCATTGTGGACAGTCATCGACAGTTCGGTTTTTACACTAAAATAAAAACAAAGATTGACATAAGTTCCGAAATATTATATTAGTATATTATTTTTTCGGCCAAACAAGACGTTTAAATATTCACATTTACTTTGTGGCTATTTGAAACGTTAGTTAAGTTAGCAAACTGAAATCCAAAACATATTTCAGTTCATTTAATAAATCATTAAATCCAGGTATTAACAATGAGGTAAGCTTTGTTTTCTCTAGAGAAATATCATACATGTTTTGTCAGATTATTTGACTACAAGTAGAATGGTGTGAAGCGTTTATTCTGAGGTTATATGTAAGCGTTTGGTTCTGAGTTTACATGTAAGCATGATGTACTGTGATTACCTGTACGTGTTATGTACCTTGCTTACCTGTAAGCGTTGTGTAATAGGCTTTAAAGCCGAGGCTTGTGACGGAGGCGTCAGACACAAACAGGACGAACAAAGCCCCCTGGCTGGAGGTCAGTGACCTGGGTACCTTGCTGCCACAGAATCGGCCCAGGAGGCTGGACATGGGGGTGGGGCCGTCATAGACCGCCAGGAAGTCATGCTGGCAGGTCGCCCCCTCTTCTATGCTCATGTCAGTAAAGCTACAAATAGAACGGCACTGCTCTTGATTTTTCAGAAAATTAACAATGTTTATATAGGGGAAATTCGGACCGGTAAGTTCTAACTGTCTTCCGGAATTTTCCAGAACATATCAGAGTTTTTTTTTGCCACCCCGAGGGTCGGTCTACGACCTCAGGAGTTATGAAAAGGTTCCTACGTGGGAATTTTTTTTCGATATATAGCCCATATAAGGCGCCGGTAAGTCGAGGTCAGTTTTAACCCCCTCTTCGTGAACTTTTCGGTCAACCGGCACCGGCCCTCGTGTTCTATTGACCCAAGGTAGGATCCTGCCAAATTTGACGCGCCTGCGGCGCCGGGAAGTGCTCTGTCGCCCGACCACTTTGCTTTATATATATAGATAGTTATTCATGCTGGTGAAAAAGCCCCATCCCCCTTCCCATTTATACATTTAGGCTATAGTTATTCATGCTGGTTAACCATGACGTCATGCTGGTTTATCATGACGTCATGGTGTAGTCTACCCACCTGACAGTGACTTGTGAGCTGTTTTTACTTTGAACCAGCCAGGAGCAGGTGGTATTGACCAGGTATTTCTGGGGGTAGCCTGGGCTGGTGATGTACCCTGCTGACCCGGAGACTGTACTGTTGCAAGCTGCAGAACACAGTGGTCAAGCTATTGGTCACAATATGTCAAAACTAGTGGTCAAGCTATTGGTCACAATATGTTAAAACTAGTGGTCAAGCTATTATGTTGGTCACAATATGTCACAACTAGTGGCCAAGCTATTATGCTGGTCGAAATATGTGAAAACTTGTTGTCCAAGAAAACAATACATGATCAGGGAAACTACGAAGTGGTATTGGGGATAGTGTAGATTGTTACAGACCAACTCAAATACACATTGCTACTACCTACGAATGTAAACTGTCAAATCGATATCTTACTAACGAACTTTAAATAATATATTTATACTTTTGTTTTGTGAAATAATTTCTGTGCACAGCCTTATTTGCTAGATTTCAATTAATATTTCAATTTTAGTTTGTACGTTTTGTAGTTCTATTTATAAGCGGAAGACATTGGTACTAACACCAGAGGCGTAGCGCGGAGGGGGGGGGGGGACGACGACATATGTCCCTAGGCGCCGACCTTAGGGGGGGGGGGCGCCAAAATGGGTTGGAAAAACAAATTGAAAGTTTGATGGGGGGGGGTACAAATCAAAAGCTCGAGGGGGGGGGGGTGCAAATCGAAAGTTCGAGGTGGGGGGGGGGGTGCAAATCAAAAGTTCGAGAGGGGGGTGCAAATCGAAAGTTTGTCCCCGGGCGCCGGAAAGGGTTGCTACACCTCTGACTGACGCCATTTTATTTTTTAAAATTTGTGAGCTAAAACAATAGAGATAATAAAATGATTAAAAATTTAGATTGGGCATTCTCTCCATGAAGCTGGGATGGGTCTCTGAACCAATTGATAAAAGACAAATGAATCTTTAGACATGGGTGGGCTACAGGAACTGCATGCATGCCATGTCCAACGCAAATGATAATCTTATTTGTGTTTATAATGGAGGTGGGGGGGGGAGGGAGCAAGTATTGAACATTTTATAAAGTTTTTTTCTTAATTTGAAAGGGGATTGATAATAAAAATTAAAAAAAATAAAATATAAGATGACTGTTTAATTTCCAACTATCAGATTTCTTACGGTTTATGTCTAGGCATCTGGTGCTTGTGACGGTATCCAGACTCATCCACTCGGGGCAGACACATTTCTCCACTCTAGGACTGACTGACGTCACACTACACTCGTGGGAGCAGCTGGTATTCTGGCACTGGGCTGTGGCGATAGAATAAAAGAAACAATTCTTGCATTCACATTGTTGCGATAGAATAAAGGGGAGACAAGTCTTGTATTTACATTGCCACAGAGGAATAAAGGGAAACAAGTCTGGTATTTTAAGAGCTTTTTAACTGGACAATAAGGTAGCAAGTCTTATATTACATTTTTGGCACTGGGCTAGTGGAAAAAAATCTTGTTTTCAAGAATTAAAAAAAATATGCTAATAGGAAACACGTTTTATGTTTAGGTTTTGTCACTATTGTAGACTTACCTTTGGCGGTGTACCAAGCCAAAAATCCCCGTTGATTGAATGAGCTGTCCGACTGAAACACCAAGTGAAGAGAGTTCTTTGTTGACTTGATCAGGGGCGGCAACACGCTGCAGTACTGGCCGAGAGAGAGGGCGTTGGCGTCGACACCGTCAAATATCTCTAGATAGTCCCAGGGACATTCCATGTCAATGTCTTGAACCCTGTCACAACAACATCAAAAAACTTGTATGGTGGTGTCAAACAATGCTAAACTAGTAAACAATGATGTTTAAAGTTGACCTAACTTTTAAGAAAAACTGCAGTTAATTAAGAATATTAACCAAGAGAAGATTAAAACTAACTGGCTAATCGAAATAAGACGGATGGTAAAAGAGAAAACTAGCATTTCCTCTTTGCAAAATGGAAAATGAAATAAAAGTGATAAACATAGTGTAGAAAAATATAACGATTAGAGCGCCAACAGCTTATATTTCGGCAAAGTCATTACAATATATTTTTCTTAGTTCTTCATTGTTATAGCAGCTCTAAGATTATGTCATTACTGTACTTCAATACATCCCACATCAGTGCTACTTAAAGTATGACAACATCAGTGCTCCTAATCAAAGTATTACAACATCAGTGCTCCTAATCAAAGTATCACAACATCAGTGCTCCTAATCAAAGTATTACAACATCAGTGCTCCTAATCAAAGTATCACAACATCAGTGCTCCTAATCAAAGTATTACAACATCAGTGCTCCTAATCAAAGTATCACAACATCAGTGCTCCTAATCAAAGTATTACAACATCAGTGCTCCTAATCAAAGTATCACAACATCAGTGCTCCTAATCAAAGTATTACAACATCAGTGCTCCAAATCAAAGTATCACAACATCAGTGCTCCTAATCAAAGTATTACAACATCAGTGCTCCTAATCAAAGTATTACAACATCAGTGCTACTTAAATTATGACAACATCAGTGCTCTCCCAACGTTTGTACCTTAGAGTCACAACAGAGCTAAGCTCAGCCTAAAAGGTTGTACACCCCACTCTCCCAACGTTTGTACCTTAGAGTCACAACAAAGCTAAGCTCAGCCTAAAAGGTTGTACACCCCACTCTCCCAACGTTTGTACCTTAGAGTCACAACAGAGCTAAGCTCAGCCTCTATCGTCCACGTGCAGTGTGAGTTGTCAGGGTAGTTCAGCGGGTAGTTAGTACTCATCATTGACCCTGTAGCGTTGGTCAGTTTCCTGTTGCAGTCTAGACAAAACGAAATCATAGCGTCATAAGAACATTTCGTCTCAACCTCAAGTCATTCCATATTTGTAAAATTAAATGTACTGTCGATGTGATACATAATTTACGTAATGTTTACTCCATTTAAAAAAGAATATCTAAGTTTGTATACATTTCTAAATTTCTAGTATATTAAGCTGTAGTCACATGAGAAAATACAGCCCTGAATGTGCTTATTGTGCATATAAGAAAGATGTAAATAAAACCAACCCTACCAACACAGGCGCCGTTGACTTGGGGTAACCCATTCCAGCAGTTGCACTGATAGCCGCCCTTGGTGTTGTTACACTGTAGCTGTGCTGGGCAGGGGCTACTACTGCAGAAGTCAACAAACAGCGAACAATCTGTCGTGTTTATCCCCGCCTTACACACACATTTACTAATTCCTTCGTCACAGTAAAGTGTGTTGAGCACATCGCATCGATTCGAGCAGTTCTTAGCTGGCAAAATTGTTGGATTTAAACACATTTGACTAGAGATTTCTTCCTAGATATATTTAAGGTCAAGATGTATGTTTATATATATATATACAGATACACATATAGACATATATATATATATATATATATATATATATATATATATATATATATATATATATATATATATATATATATATATATATATTTGTGTGTGTATCTGTATCTATATATATATATATATATATATATATATATATATATATATATATATATATATATATATATATATATATATATATATGTCTATATGTGTATCTATCTATCTATCTATCTATATCTATATCTATATATATATATATATATATATATATATATATATATATATATATATATATATATATATATATATATATATATATATAGATATATATATATAATAAGCTTGCAACTTTGCTGCACTGTCAAGACAACAAAGTCACACTTGATCTGACCTATCATTGAATGCACGTAGATCCTGCCGCCACGTTACACACAAGCACCAGCATCATCAGCACCAGCACCACGTACTCACCTAGACAGGTTCTCAAATCCTCCCTGTGCAGCACATAGTTGCCTCCACAGCTGCACTCGTACGAGCCCTCCTTGTTCGTGCACACCTGGTCACAGGTGCTAGTATCATTGCACTCGTCTATATCTGTTGACAGGCAGAAACAAATATTTGATATTTGACAAATTAAAAAAATAATTTTTTATTAACTTTTTTAAACACTACTTGAACATTAACATGTGTACGCCATTTGGGACTGCATTACTTATGACATATTAGGATGCTATTGAAAGGAGTGGCACTGACCCTCACAGGCGTATCCCATGTCAGCATATCCCGATGGACACGGTCCACACAGATATCCCAGCGTGCTGTTCCCCTGCTGTCCAGGTGTTAGGTCTGTGCAAGGTTTGCCTTTAACACAAGGCTTAGCCTGGCATGCATCGATCTCATCGTCACAATTCTCACCTGCACATTTATCATACTCAATTAGTTTCATTACACAAGTGCCTGTCAAATTTTAATTAAAGACATTTCTGAAGACAAGTATAGCCAGCTAATTCACATACCTGTGGAGCCAGCTAATTCACATACCTGTGGAGCCAGCTAATTCACATACCTGTGGAGCCAGCTAATTCACATACCTGTGGAGCCAGCTAATTCACATACCTGTGGAGCCAGCTAATTCACATACATGTGGAGCCAGCTAATTCACATACCTGTGGAGCCAGCTAATTCACATACCTGTGGAGCCAGCTAATTTACATACCTGTGGAGCCAGCTAATTCACATACCTGTGGAGCCAGCTAATTCACATACATGTGGAGCCAGCTAATTCACATACCTGTGGAGCCAGCTACTTCACATACCTGTGGAGCCAGCTAATTCACATACCTATTGAGCCAGCTAATTCACATACCTGTTGAGCCAGCTAATTCACATACCTGTGGAGCCAGCTAATTCACATACCTGTTGAGCCAGCTAATTCACATACCTGTGGAGCCAGCTAATTCACATACCTGTGGAGCCAGCTAATTCACATACCTGTGGAGCCAGCTAATTCACATACCTGTGGAGCCAGCTAATTCACATACCTGTGGAGCCAGCTAATTTACATACCTGTATAGCCTGGTTGACAAAGACATCTAAGGATCTGAACTTTCCCACCAAAATATTCCACGTCACGTATAGAGCTGTTGTCACATTCACCATTCCCGTCACAGAGTGGACAAATTGTGACAGGGACGTACTCTATTGGGGTGTAGCAATCTTTAGAATCCTTCACTTGAAACCTGCAAGTCAAAGTTTAATTTTGGGTCTATTTTTTAAAAAGATGTTGGAATTTTTAACTAAATGTTTAAGGATGCGGGTGGTAATTTTTTTACTTGGGGTTTGTAATTTCATTGATGGATCTCTTTAGCTCAGGATTCGAATAACAGACCAAACAATATTTTGATACAAACAAAATTAAACAGGAAGATAGTAGTCGAGAAAAGAAAGAAGAAGCCAGCAGATACAATGAAAGAAGCAGACTAAAGTTAGGATTCATGAATTATTTGAATTGCTTACAATCACGAATGAAATAATCAAAGAAAATTTTCGTAAACATTTTTATGTGATTCCTTTTTACTTTATCATGCGTGTAAAATAATGTGAATGATCTTCAAATGTAGGCGCGATAACTTCCAATGGTAGTTTGTTTACAATTGTGTGATCACTTACACGAGGGTTGGCGGGATGGTGAGATTGTGTGATGACTTACGCGACTTGTGCCGGGTTGGCCAGGGTTGGCGTGTAGCTGAGGTGACCAGTCTGGTTGATGGTGACACCAACAGGGTTGCCAAACAAAAGGAATGTGAGGGCGTCCTTGTCCGAGTCGTCTGCCCTGATCTGGAGTCTGCTGGCAACCCCTTCCTGTACGTACCAGCGGCCATTTTGAAAACTTCCGTTGTCTGACGCAAACGTGACCGTCGGGCAATTGTTTGCTGGAGAGAAATTAGCGGTTTGTCGGTCAGTGACGTATGACAGTCAGTGAAGTGACAGTCCCTGACGTATGAGTCAAGTTATAGTCAGATGAAAGTCATTTCATCACAACCTTCAACTCATATGACCCCCAAAAATAACCCTGACCCATCTTAACTTCTAACCTACCATAACTCCCAACCCAAAATAACCCCAAACCCGCGATAACCCCAACCTATCACAACCACGATTCCCAACCCACCACAACCCCCAACCCACCATAACCCCTAACCCACCATGACCCCTCAACCCAACCCATAACAACCTCCAAAAACCCTAATCCACCACATCCCCAACCCACCATAACCCCCAACCCACCATAACCCCCAACCCACCCTAACCCCCAACCCACCATAACCCCCAACCCACCCTAACCCCCAACCCACCCCAACCACCAACCCATCACAACCTCAACCCACCCTAACCCCTAACCCCCAACCCACCCTAACCCCTAACCCCCAACCCACCACAACCCCCAACCCACCCTAACCCCTAACCCCCAACCCACCACAACCCACCACAACCCCAACCCACCCTAACCCCTAACCCCCAACCCACCACAACCCTAACCCACCACAACCCCCAACAACCCCCAACCCACCACCGTACCAAGTGTTTGCCTCAACACCACAGCCTGTTCGACGAGGGCCTTTGTCCTGCTAGCGAACACCTTGTCCCCAGTGGCCAGGTAGTCATAGATACACGCCTTGTTCGTTGCCCCGCACAACGACGCCGCCGCCATCTTGCTGCTGAGCGAGGCCGACTCGGAGTAAAAGGGCGTGAACTCTGGGTGCTGATAGCTGGAAATATTTTTCCCAGGCGGCAATATGAAGACAGATGTAGCGTCAGTAACCAGATCTGTAAGATGGTTTTGTACAAACAAAAAAATCAGAATTATGTTCTGTGAAATTCATTGGAAATAGATTTATTTTTGTTTAAAACCCTGTGATAATACTCGATTTTTTTTTCTTAAACTGTATGTAAAAAGTGTATAGATAACATTAAATATGTGATATTAAATGAGGAATGATTTACATAGTTTACTAAAAGAATTGAATAAAAAGCAACAATGATGCACATTATAATCTCCATTCAGAATCAAATATTACAATCCGCGAAATTTATGTGTAGTTGTATTTGTTTACTAAAAAAAACAATAGCCATAAATTATCTAGCAACTGTTAAAATCATACAGCGATGGGATCATATCGACTTTACACCCAAACACTGTAGTCGTCTTACACTAGTAGCCTGACTTACACTTTAATAAAAAGAACGATTCATTTTCTTACAACTGTTAAAATCATGTAACAACTGACTACCATACCGACTTCAGGCCTGTACACTAGAGTTAGCTGACCGCAGCATGACTTACACTGAGATGCGAAGTTTTTGATGATCTCTTTCTCCGTCAGGTTAGCCCGGAGCACAGTTCCATTGGGCAGCGTGAAGTCGTCGTCTGCTCTCCCGTTGAAGTTCCCCATCAGGCCGCTGGTCTTGTTCTGTAGGGACTTGTGCACCTCGACACTCAAGGTCAAGGGGTCAACGATAAGCGTCACACCTGTCACGTGGTAAAGTTCATGGTCAAATATGTAGCTGACATAAGCAAGGGTCACACCTGTCACGTGATAAAGTTCATGGTCAAATATGTAGCTGACATAAGCAAGGGTCACACCTATCACGTGATGACACTCATGGTCAAATATGTAGCTGACATAAGCAAGGGTCACACCTGGCAAGTGACAACATCAAAGTTAGCAACACAACTGTGGTGTTGTCTATTATGACTTGACCACTTAACCCTGTTCATCTTTAAATACATTGTCCTAGCCAGCCAGTCCAAATATTCCTCAAGTCCGGATCACCCAAACTGTCATGATTAGCCACATAGCATGGACTATCCACACTGTTCACACTATCCATACTACCCTCACTATCCACACTGTCCTCACTATCCACACTACCCTGACTACCCCCACTGCCTTAACTATCCACACTGTCCTCACTATCCACACTGTCCTCACTATCCACACTGCCCTAACTATCCACACTGCCGTAACTATCCACACTACCCTGACTACCCATACTACCCTCACTATCCACACTGTCCTCACTATCCACACTACCCTGACTACCCCCACTGCCTTAACTATCCACACTGTCCTCACTATCCACACTGTCCTCACTATCCACACTGCCCTAACTATCCACACTACCCTAACTATCCACATTACCCTTACTATCCACACTGCCCTCACTATCCACACTGCCCTCACTATCCACACTGCCCTAACTATCCACACTGGACTAACTATCCACACTGGCCTGACTATCCAAATTACACTGACCAACCACACTACGCTGACTATCCACACTGCCCTAACTTTCCACACTACCCTAACTATCCACACTGCCCTCACTATCCACACTACATTGACTATCCACACTACACTGACTAGCCACACGCTAGATTAAAACCTACCACACGGAAACACAGCCACAACTGATGTCCGGTTAGCGATTTCGTCTCGCCGGACATCAATAGCTTCTAGAGATAGTACAAATCTTGTGTTGTTGTAGAAATCTTCCGTGATATTGACGCCGTTCACTAATATGACCATAGCTGGGTAACAGAAGCAAATATTTATGCAGTGTAGAAAAACAAACGATTTATTTTAAACTTTTGCTACGTATGGCTATTTAATTTTAAACAATATTTGAATACAATGAAAAATTATAAGTTTCAAGTAATTAACAAAACCAGTATTAAACAATCATACAAATAATAACAAGAATTTATTCTTACGGAATTTCCCAGTAGAAATCTCAACTTGAAAACGGGCGTAGTCTTTCTCCTTGGCAGCGAAGGCCCCAAAGACAGTGGCCATTTTTGTTGCACCTGTGGTGGTCTTTACCTGGTCAGTTCTAGCCTGTGACATGTTGCATGGTGTTAGACATTGGATTGATCCATGGATATATAGCATGAAAGGTGTTACAAGTTGGATAGATCCATGGATATATCATGATGTATGACATGAAAGGTGTTAGACATTGGATAGATCCATGGATATATCATGATGTATGACATGAAAGGTGTTAGACATTGGATAGATCCATGGATATATGACATGAAAGGTATTTAAATCAGGTGCTGTAGTTCTCGTGTAAGCCTACAGCAACAGACGTTTACTGACAAGCAGAATCTATCCAAACCTAAAACTTTACCCAAACCTAAAGCTTCACCCAAACCTAAACCTTCACCCAAACCTAAAACTTTACCCAAACCTAAAGCTTCACCCAAACCTAAACCTTCACCCAAACCTAAAAACTTCACCCAAACCTAAATCTTCACCCAAACCTAAACCTTCACCCAAACCTAAACCTAAACCTTTACCCAAACCTAAACCTAAACCTTCACCCAAACCTAAAACTTCACCCAAACCTAAACCTTCACCCAAACCTAAACCTTCACCCAAACCTAAACCTTCACCCAAACCTAAACCTTCACCCAAACCTAAACCTAAACCTTCACCCAAACCTAAACCTCAACCTTCACCCAAACCTAAACCTTCACCCAAACCTAAACCTTCACCCAAACCTAAACCTTCACCCAAACCTAAACCTAAACCTTCACCCAAACCTAAACCTCAACCTTCACCCAAACCTAAACCTTCACCCAAACCTAAACCTTCACCCAAACCTAAACCTTCACCCAAACCTAAACCTCAACCTTCACCCAAACCTAAACCTCAACCTTCACCCAAACCTAAACCTTCACCCAAACCTAAACCTTCACCCACACCTACACCTTCACCCAAACCTAAACCTCAACCTTCACCCAAACCTAAACCTCAACCTTCACCCAAACCTAAACCTTCACCCAAACCAAAACCTAAAACTTCACCCAAACCTAAACCTAAACCTTTACCCAAACCTAAACCTTCACCCAAACCTAAACCTTCACCCAAACCTAAACCTTCACCCAAACCTAAACCTAAACCTTCACCCAAACCTAAACCTTCACCCAAACCTAAACCTTCACCCACACCTACACCTTCACCCAAACCTAAAACTTCACCCAAACCTAAACCTAAACCTTCAACCAAACCTAAAACTTCACCCTAACCTAAACCTTCACCCAAACCTAAAACTTCACCAAAACCTAAACCTTCACCCAAACCTAAACCTTCATCTAAACCTAAACCTTCAACCAAAACTAAACCTTCACCCAAACCTAAACCTTCAAACAAACCTAAACCTCACCCAAACCTAAAACTTCACCCAAACCTAAAACTTTACCCAAACCTAAAACTTCACCCAAACCTAAACCTTCACCCAAACCTAAAAACTTCACCCAAACCTAAAACTTCACCCAAACCTAAACCTTCACCCAAACCTAAAACTTCACCCAAACCTAAAAACTTCACCCAAACCTAAAACTTCACCCAAACCTAAAAACTTCACCCAAACCTAAAACTTCACCCAAACCTAAAACTTCACCCAAACCTAAAAACTTCACCCAAACCTAAAACTTCACCCAAACCTAAAACTTCACCCAAACCTAAACCTTCACCCAAACCTAAAACTTCACCCAAACCTAAAAACTTCACCCAAACCTAAAACTTCACCCAAACCTAAACCCTCACCCAAACCTCACACTTCTGAGACTTGCCTGGAAAGAAAATCCCGCGGAGATGACGTCAATCATTGTGTACACGCCATAACCGTTCATGGTGTAGAAGAAGTTGTCGAGGGTGATGATGTGGGGGTCACCTATCACATTGGCCCCTAGACACAATCACGCTCTTATTTTAGCGTAGTTATCTAATGCATTTTTTTTTCAGTACTTTAAATCTATTATTACAATAGAGTTTCATAACTAAAAACTATTGCGCAACAAATGAACACGGAAATTCGCGTATAGTAGTGTAGAACAGTAGTTGAAGACAAACTACTACTAAAATATTCAAATTTTAAAAATTAATTCATTAAAAATTAATTAGTCATCTAAATTAAGTCAGATTTGATGTCAGATTGCATTGTCATCAGGTCTTGACTTGACCCAGGTGCCGAATTTCAGAGAAATTGGTGTGTTAAAAGTGCATGAAATTTCGCTCGCCCGTTTCGATCTAGACAGAAAGACAGATAGACAGAGAGATAGACAGAGGAAACAAGTTAAATAAAAGCTTGTAAAAAGACATCAAATAGACATGTATGCCATAATGTCATAGAACCCTACTTATAAAGTCAGAAGTCATAATGTCATAGAACCCTACTTATAAAGTCAGAAGTCATAATGTCATAGAACCCTACTTATAAATTCAGAAGTCAGTGCACAGCCTCTGTCAGGAAATATTTTGTAGAAGCGATCACAGAGCCTGGATCTGTTGGAGTCCTTGCAGCAAGTCTGGTGGGCCAGTGTGGTCTCTCTGGCACCCTGCGACCACCAGGGGTCTTTGGTCAAGATGTGGCCGGCATCCGGCGAGTTGTGGACAATACTCGCCACCCCCGGGCTCGTACTCCACACGGCGTAGGGGGAAGGGCTATTCAGCATGTAACAACACATCTATAACAGGACATAGGGGGGTCATTCAGCATGTAACAACACATCTATAACAGGACATAAGGGGGGTCATTCAGCATGTAACAACACATCTATAACAGGACATAGGGGGGTCATTCAGCATGTAACAACACATCTATAACAGGACATAAGGAGAAAGGTCATTCAACATGTATCAAAACATTTATAACAGGACATAGGGGGAAGGGTTATTCAGCATGTAACAACACATCTATAACAGGACATAGGAGAAAGGTCATTCAACATGTAACAACAGATGTATCTATAACACGAAAAATATCTTTCATGAATACATTTCAACAATGATGTGGCTGCGTGGTCGGATAGTAGAGCGCACGACCTCTAACGCAAAACTTTTAAGTTCGAATCCCGGGCTGGTGTCGTTACGCCGTACCTGAGCCCACCCAGCCTTGAAGGGTACACTTTCCCTTCGGATGCAGATGTAGATTCCACATACCAGGTGAGCATTACTTTACTTACCCCATCGACAGTCAGGTTCAAAAGGTAACTCATTTACATTAAAGAAAGGGCATAATCTTACTACAACTTTAAAAAGTGCAAACATGATTTAAAGAATTAGATCTAGTCAACCTAAACACGATCTATGTCTGATGTCTGTTGCCATGGTAACTACTCACGTTGTTCCGAGGGTTGTTGAACAATTTCTTCTTGGCAGACGTGGTGAGTGAGTAACACCTGAGTTTACTAGGCTGATTGTCTCGGTCAAACCTGACCCATTCCCTGCCGACCTGGCACTGCGTGCAAGGACACAGTGGCATCTGGGCCGTCTGCTCACGGTACACGGAGTTCTGGATCAGGTACGAGTTCCTGCACAGGTATCTCTGGCACAGCTGGGCGGGGCTAGACTTCCTGCCCACCTGGTAGTAAATCACTTCTCTGTAATTAGCTGGAGGTGTGGACAAATCAATCATTGCGTATATTTAGATTTTAAAATTAATTTTTTGTTTATGATAATGAGTATGGGGGAGAAGGATTTTCTTAAATTAAAATAAGGGTTAAATATAGAATCAAATTTATGGGGTTAGGGGTTTAAAAGTATTTGAAGAATTAGACTTCCGTTTATGATTTTAGTTAACAGGGATTAAGTATCAGAATAACAATGAAGATGCCTGAAATTTTAAAACTCAATTTTAGCCGGTTTTTTTTCGCGTATTATGAATTGTAATAGAAATTAATTAAAATACTCTGCGTTACAAAAATGAACTGCATTTTTAGAGGGGGGGGGGGGGGTGCAGGCTGAGGTGTGACGTCATTTTAGAGGGAAGTCTGGCTTTTTGTGACGGAGGGGAGTGTGGGGAGGTAAAAATCGTCAGAGTGTGAGGTCTTATTGATGACCCCCCTACCCCCCTTAGTTTACAGTAGTGTTAAAAAGGAGTTAGCAATATTTTTTCCATACCTCTATTTTTGGTTAAATCAAATGTTAGCTCATCGATTACGTCCCTTCTAACAGACGTGAACGGGCTGGCGACAGCACCGACCTCTAGCGGTCTTCCCGCCACAAACTTCCAGTTCATCTGCCCCTTCTGGTAGATGGTGATCACATAGGCTGTCTCCTCGGCTGGAAATATACACAGGAACTTCTGCATTTGTGCTGCAACACTTAGTTCAATGATATGATCATTGTGAGAAACAACAAAGTGTATTATAGAACATTATCAACAATTTTTTGTTTATATTGTTATATTCAGTTTCTTAACTTTTACATACATTTAAGACTTTTTTAAGGCTCTCAAGCGGAAATATATATACTTAAGCGTCTGTTTTGTTATTAAATCTCAATCCTAAGAAATACTTAACGAGGCTGATTAAATAAAACATTATAAGGTTCCACCCAATAAAAACTCACTGGAGAAATCCAGGTCACCCGCCGATTCCTTACGGTATCCGCTGACGTAGATGGTCTGGAAACTGTTTTTCTCCGTCAGCCCCACCTGGAGAGTAGTTAAATAAAAGGAAATTAAACATGACCAGGCTTGACCAAACTAAATATGTGCGTAGATTTTTGCAAATATCTACGTTTTACACCTCCCAGAGTCGGAAAAACATAATTTTGCAATCTTGTCCGTATGTCTGTGTGTGTGTGTGTATGTGTGTCTGTAAACACGATAACTTGAGTATCGTTACAGCTAGGTTGATGAAATTTCATATATAAGTATTATATCAAATTTGTAGATCCGTGGAACTTTTTCTACTTTCAATTTTTCAAAAGCCTCTAACTTAAGTACTATTTCAGATTTCATATAAGTACAAGATATAATGCTCTGCCTTCCGTTGAACGGAAGTAGTAATTTACGCTATTTCAGATTTCTCAAAAAATGCATGTGAATTTCCAAAGTACTAATAATATCCCGCACTATAATGCACATTTTGTTTGGCGTTCACTTGGTGTGGAATTCTTTTTTCTACGAGATTCTATTCTATTATAAAAAGTTTAAGTAATTAAAAATTGATTAAAAATATTGTCTATATTCCTAATTGCCATCCCCCGTAGTGTTATGTAAGAAAATTCGAGAAAGTTTAGGGAAGATCACTCTCGGTTTATTCCAGAATGAAGGAATCAAATCTGAGTTTGTTGAGAACATAATGACTGTTTAGTGTATTGGCTCACGAATGGTTCATAAGACGCCCACAAATCATTACAAAATAGAAATGCCTATACATTTTGAAATTGTCCGATCTCTTTTATTAAATGTGTATAATATATTTATATATATATATATATATATATATATATATATATATATATATATATATATATATATATATATATATATATATATATATATATATATATATATACATATACATATAATTGTGTGTTTAAGATCTATACTTACAACACTTGGTACCAAAGGGCTTGTCTCCCTCCATGTCACTACCATGACATTAGTGACATCAATGTCATAGAGATTAAAATATTTCATGACATCTTTAGCCGCTCTAGCCATCACGCGCTCCTTGGCCGTGGAGTTGGGGTAGGGACTGGGCTCAGAGAACACGGCACCGTCACACTTCTCGTACACGTGGAAGTAGATCCTGCCCCTGGCCGGGTCCACCCTGGACCAGAAGGGGGCGATCAGCTTGTTCTTGTTGCCGAGCGCTGACGTCAGGTTCGGCTCAGCGCTCACCAGATCAGAGCCAAAGCTTACGACACCGTTGCTTGAGATCTAGGTGGAGATGAAACATACACAAGGAATTCGATGGGTATTTTTGTAACACCCAGAACATAGGCAAACATTCTAGAAAAAGTTTGAAGTAGTTTACTTTAAAACAGCGATAAGCCAAAACCTTTAACAAAAATTAGGCCCAGACTGGAAGTGTGGTGGACTTACATATGCTTCCGTTTCCAGAGAGTCTCCAAATGGAACAGGGACGCTAAAGACAGCTTTTCTGTTTGTGTCTTTGTCATACAGCAGGTCACCGAACTCCGCGCCATAAGGGTAAAATGGTACTGAGGTATAAGGTAAATGATACTGAGGTATAGAGTAAATGGTACTGAGGTATAAAGTAAATGGTACTGAGGTATAAAGTAAATGGTACTGAGGTATAAGGTAAATGGTACTGAGGTATAGAGTAAATGGTACTGAGGTATAGAGTAAATGGTACTGAGGTATAAAGTAAATGGTACTGAGGTATAAAGTAAATGGTACTGAGGTATAAAGTAAATGGTACTGAGGTATAAAGTAAATGGTACTAAGGTATAAAGTAAATGGTACTGAGGTATAAGGTAAAGTGTACTGAGGTATAAAGTAAATGGTACTGAGGTATAAGGTAAATGGTACTGAGGTATAGGGTAAATGGTACTGAGGTATAAAGTAAATGGTACTGAGGTATAAGGTAAATGGTACTGAGGTATAGAGTAAATGGTACTGAGGTATAGAGTAAATGGTACTGAGGTATAAAGTAAATGGTACTGAGGTATAAAGTAAATGGTACTGAGGTATAAAGTAAATGGTACTGAGGTATAAGGTAAATGGTACTGAGGTATAAAGTAAATGGTACTGAGGTATAAAGTAAATGGTACTGTAGTAAAAAATAAATGGTACTGAGGTATAAAGTTAATGCTACTGAGGTATAAAGTAAATGGTACTGAGGTATAAAGTAAATGATACTGAGGTATAAAGTTAATGCTACTGAGGTATAAAGTTAATGGTACTGAGGTATAAAGTAAATGGTACTGAGGTATAAAGTTGAAGTAGATTTGTACTTAGATAGGTAACACAACAGGCGAGGAAGCCATGTTCTATGCACACCACCTTTTATTCTCTATCGGAAACAGGAAGCACAACATGACAAGCAAGGGACATCACTCAAACATTATAAGACTAATACAAGAAGAGTGAGTTCCCCTCAATATAAAGCTTAATATATTACATCCCTTTACCCTTAGTTAATAATAACATAGCTTTCAAGAGAATAAATGATAGTATCTTAAAATCACCTTGCTATTTCCTTCTTTAGTTTAAAACATTAGAATTGCCAAACAATAATAAAAGAAAGATTGAATAATGATCCCCTTTCAATTAATAACACTTCAAAAGTCAATACAAAACATTATATGCATTCCTTCCGAAATGTTAAACAATTTAATAAGTCACTAAATATATTGTAACATAAACATTATATGATTTGAATCATTTGGTAGATTAAATCCTTACAAACAAATGCAAATTATGCTACAAATATAATTAAATTACAAAACAATGATGTCAAAGTCCTCTTAACCTTTAAACTCAAAGGTCTAACTTATCTAGGACTTTGATTGTCCTGTTTGACCTTCTCAGTGGCTTTTGATTTGGTGATTCAAGATTCTGACCATCTGGACTCTCTAGCTCAGGAAGTCCAGGATCTAAATCATTAATTCCAGAATTTACATTTTCTGACTCTAGACTACTTGGTTCACTCATTTCAACAGACCTTGGTTGTGGAACAAACTGAGTTGGTGTGAACTGGTCAGATCTGGTGGGATTGATAGATTCACACTTATTATCTGCACAAGTTATTTTTAACTGGTCTGCATGTCTACGGACAATAAGTCCATTATTTGTTTTTACTTTATAAGACACAGGTCCTATACATTGAACAATTTCACCTGGCATCCATTTTTCCCCTCTCCCATAATTTCTCAGATACACATTATCATTAACCCCAAATTCTCTCTCAATGGATGTTTTGTCATGATTTACTTTTTGTGTATGTTGATGTTGGGAAACAGACCTTTGAACAGTTGGATGTAGTAGGTCAAGGTGAGTTTTAATTTTCCTACCACACAGCAATTCGCATGGTGCAACACCTGTTGTTATATGAGGAGTTGTGCGGTATTTGGCTAAGAACCTGTTTACTCTTTCCCTGAGAGAAAATTTGTTACCGGTACCCATTTTTACCATAGCGGTTTTGAATATGCCTACCGCTCTTTCAGCCAAACCATTCCCAGCAGGGTGTTATGGTGATGTGGTTATATGCTCAATACCATTTGCTACACAAAACAGTTTAAACTCATGAACAGTGAAACTAGGCCCATTATCTGAAACAATTTGATCAGGTAATCTATGAGTTGAAAATATTTCCTAAAGTTCAATAATGGTATCACTTGCAGTGATTGTGTTCATGATTTTAACTTCTAACCACTTAGAATGTGAATCAATAACAATTAAGAAAATTTTGTTCATGAAGGGTCCTGCAAAATCTATATGGATACGTTTCCATGGTTCGATTGGCCAATCCCAGTTTTGCAAGGGTGCTGTAGCTTGTTGATTTGAATGTTGTGCATTCACATTTATATTGGAGTTATCCATGATAGTGAAATGAACAAATACATCTTCTGGTACATAACTAAGGCTTTGGTTTTTTAAATCTGCACTATCTGCACTATTCTCAGATCCATGTTTGTATTTCAATTCATAATTGTATGCGGCTAGTGTGATAGCCCACCTTTGAACCCTTGGTGAGGCATGCTCAGGCAGGGGTTTGTTTTCCCCAAACAAACCCAGCAATGGCTTATGATCTGTAAAGATGGTGAACTCTCTACCAAACAGAAACTTGTGAAATTTCTTAATACCAAAAAAATGATGCCTAAGCCTTCCCTATCTAACTGAGAATAATTTTTCTCAGCCCGGTTCAAAGATCTACTGGCAAAAGCAATGGGTCTGTCACCATTTTCATCTATGTGGGATAAAACTGCTCCTACACCATCTGGTGAAGCATCACATGTTAAGATAGGTCTTTTCCCTGGGTCATAGTGAGTTAGCAAAGTGTCAGAAGACAAAGCTTCTTTTGCTGCATTAAAAGCAGCATCTTGTTGTTTACCCCAGTGCCAAGTTGCATTTTTCTGCAGCAGCTTGTACAGTGGTGATAGTTTACCAGACAGATTCCCTATGAACTTCGCATAGTAATTAATAAAGCCCAAAAAAAGCTCTTAGCTGTTGGGTATTTTCAGGTTTGGGTGCTTCTTTAATGGCTTTTGTTTTCTCAGGTTGAGGTCTGAGACCCTGTCTGCTCAAACTATAACCCAGAAAACTAATATCTGTCAGCATGAATTATTTATCTTTGTTTATCTGTAAACCCTTTTCACCAACTATTTTCAAAACTTTATCAAGTGTTTTAAGATTTTCAGTGTCATTCTTACCAGTTATGTATACATTGTCAAAGTAAACACAAACATTTGGAATTTCCTGAAAAATACTGTCCATGACAGCCTGGAAAATTCCAGGGCTAGATGATATACCAAAACATAGTCTTTCATATTGGTAGAGTCCCTTATGTGTGTTTATTGTCGCATAGACTTTTGAATCTGGATGCAGTTCTAGTTGAGTGTAAGCATGACTAAAGTCTAATTCAGTGAATTTGTCTCCTCCTGCCAACTTCAAAGCAATTTCCTCAATGTTAGGAATAGGGTACCTATTTAGCTCTATTTGCTTATTCAGTGTAGCTTTATAGTCTCCACAAATTCTTACAGAACCATCCTTCTTTAACACTGGCACAATGGGCGTTGCCCAATCGGAATAGTCTACCTTCTTTACGATGCCATTAGATTCCAATCTACTTAGCTCATTTTCAATTGTATCTCTCATTGCATAAGGTGGAACTCTAGCTTTGCAGTATCTTGGATTTGTGTCTTTAATGCTTATCTTCACTGTCCTATCATTTAGTAACCCTGAACTACCAAAGACACCTTCATTTTCAGATACAACTTTATCTATTGAAGTAAAACTAGATTCTCTTGCATTGTTCACTGAAAATAAACTCCCCCAGTCTAACTTAAGATCAACTAACCAGTTCCTACCTAGTAATGGTGGTCCATTTCCTTCAACCACAAGAAGAGGAAGTTTAACACTTTGACCATTATAGCTTACATGAACTATACACTCTCCTATCACCGGAACATTGTCATCTGTGTATGTTGTTAGGCACTTGTGACATGGTTGTAGAGGCACTGATCCTCCTGTGACAGCGTCAAAGTCCTTCTTTGTGATGACGGTTAGAGATGCTCCCGTGTCAAGTTGGAAGATAATGCTCTTACCGTTGATACAAATTAGTACATTGATGGGAGCATGACTTGTTGATTTCACAGAGAACAGGTTGAGCTCCTGCTGCGGATCAGTTTGAGCATTGTCACTGGTAGAGTGGTTCATTGGTTGGGTTAGGCTGTCTTGGTGACAGTTAACATAGTGCTGCCTTTGGTTGTGGTACTTTCTTGACTGGCTAGATCTAGCAACAGACGAAGACTTTGCAAAGCAGGCCTTGGCAATGTGACCTTGCTTACTGCACTTATAGCAAGTTGCTGACTTGAACGTGCATTGATGAGATGCATGGGGACCGTTGCATCGATGACATTTTTGATACTTATTACTAGATTTAGATCTAGGATTTGAACTTGCAGGCTGTTTAGCATAAGTTGAACTGCTCTGATGGGGTTGGTGTTTGTTGACTAACCTGCTGGCTACTGCATGGATCCCCGAAGGCGCTAGAGATCTGGCTGCCTCGGATGACTGCTGGAATGAAGTTGCAAGTTGCATTGCTTTTTCCAATGTTAGATCTGACTCGAGAAGCAACTTTCTTTGAACATCAGGGCTGTTTACACCTGTCACAAACTTTTCACATAGTCTGTCAGACAGCGTGTCCCCGAATTCACAGAATTCACTTAGATGACGTAAAGCAGCAACATATTCTGATATTGATTCGTTTGGTTGACGAGTCCTACCGTCAAATCTGGCTCTAGACAGGAACTTTGATGGTGCGGGCGCATGGTGGTCTGTTAGCAGTTTGCTCAGCTCGTTAAAGCTCTTGGTAGTTAGACTAGCTGGTGCGCATAAGCCCTTTAATAGCCTATATTGTTGAGGCCCTATGACTGTTAACAAAACAGCTCTCTTTTTGGCTTCTATCGTCACGTCGTTAGCTTTAAGGTAAAAGCTTAACCTATCTAGATAATCATGAATGGTTTCGTCATTCGAATTAAATTCTTTTATCTGGCCATACAGCGCCATTATCCTGCAAATACTTAGCAAATATATTCTAGCAAGCTTCTTCTTAAGTAAGCATGTGCTCTTTTTAGTGGATGATTTATCCTCGTCGCCAAATGAAGTAGATTTGCAATTAGATAGGTAACACAACAGGCGAGGAAGCCATGTTCTATGCACACCACCTTTTATTCTCTATCGGAAACAGGGCACACCACCTTTTATTCTCTATCGGAAACAGGAAGCACAACATGACAAGCAAGGGACATCACTCAAACATTATAAGACTAATACAAGAAGAGTGAGTTCCCCTCAATATAAAGCTCAATATATTACAAAAGTAAATGGTACTGAGGTATAAAGTAAATGGTACTAAGGTATAAAGTAAATGGTACTAAGTTATAAAGTAAATGGTACTAAGGTATAAAGTAAATGGTACTTAAGTATAAAGTAAAATATTATTTAAGTATAAGGCTAAGGCGGTTCTGAAGTAATGTATATATTTAAAACAATGTATCAAATTAAAATAGATTCGGGCTAAAATAACCAAATTTTAATGAACATATTTTATAGTAGGTTACAAAAAATTAATTAAGGGTTCATTTCTTCGATGCATTTAGTTTCATTAAACCTTTACTCACCACCCCAACAAATACCAACACAACCGACACCCACACACCAGATACCAACACAACAGACACCCACACAACAGACACCCACACAACAGACACTCACACAACAGACACTCACACAACAGACACTCAGCAACACAACAGATAATCACCAATAGAAAAGATACTCACCCACACACATAGAAATGTTGGTTGACGATAGCTCAAGCTCAGGTGGGCAGTAGCACGTGTCAAGGCTGTTAACCTTGTAACAGTAGTGTGAGCAGCTTTGTAGCGTTTTGGTCGTACAGTTGCTATTGATCTCTGAGTGTAGTTAGACATACTCAGAGCTTATATACATACATACATACATACACACACAGACATATATATATATATATATATATATATATATATATATATATATATATATATATATATATATATATATAATCATCTAACGCCTGTTCAGTAGAACTTAAAAATCTAGTTGAATGTGTATAAGCCTACTTTCACAATCAGCCAGTAGATTCCTCTGGTAGCCTTGTCTGCATGTGCATGTGTAGCTTCCCTGTGTGTTCTGACACGTTTCTCGCTCACTGCACGCGCCAAGCTTGCACTCATCCACATCCAGCGAGCAGTCATCCCCCGACCAGCCGGCTCTACAGATGCAGGTTCCGTCCATGTTGTCACATGACTGGCTCGTGACCTGAGCGCAGGTACAGGGGTACTGGCAGGTGGGCCCGTAGGTAAAGCTCGGGCAGGCTGGGTAGAGGGATGGTTAGAGTTTATATAGACCCCTACACCATGGGATGTAGAGGGCAGGACAGTATACCTAAAAAAGACACGTTGGGCAGAAGGTTGGCTATAGTTTATATAGACCCCTAAACCATGGGATGTAGAAGGCAGGACAGTATACCTAAAACAGACAAGGAATGGACAGGGCAGGAGCTTATAGCAGCTCAGATCAGAAGAATGAAATGGCTCAGGATTGTACACGCTAAGTCGCTAAGCTTAAAAAGCGTGTGGTACGACAGACGCTTGAGTGTAACTCTCAAGGAAGGCAAGGAGAGGGTGCCTAAGGACAGGCTAAAGTCGGAGTCTTCTCGATTATCTTAGGATCGCAGGGATATCTTTGGAAGACTACAAAATACCCAGCTAGAGACAGGACAAAGTGAAAGATAATGGCTGAGGCCCAATGTTCCACACGGAGTAAAGAAGACTTAGATAGATCATGAGGACATATGTATGTAATACATCGAGAACAAATATTATGATGATAAGTTCTATACACAACAATATATCTTGAATTACGTTTTGTTTTATATTTAAATCTAGTTTTGAATGGGCAGTTGGTATACACAAAACTGAAGACTTACGGTGTATGACGTAACTTGCCCGGAACCCCTTCCTCCGCCCTCCCCCTGTTTGAAGAGTTATCTGCATTGCAACGTTCCTGGTTCTAATTTTTTCTGGAACTTTCGAGCCGCAGAACCTCCCTAGAGATTCTATGTCGGTGAAATTTCTACTGAAAAACTCTACAGCATCTACGCTACAGTTTGGACTATCAGTGAGCTGGAAATCTTTAGCCTCAATGCTTTGTGGAGAGGAGAGGAAACATTGGTTAGCAGAATTATAATTAGAAATTACAAGAGATATGACTGCATTCGTGGTTTAAACATTCTGTATTACAATCTATATTAGGACAAATATTTCTATTATGATAGTACAGCCGAGACAAGTATTTGAGTTATATGAAGTCTGTTAAGTGTTATAATGTTGCTGACCCCCCCCCCCCCCTAAAAAGACACATATTTCTATTATGTATAATGAGACGGTATTGCTGGTCCCATATTAGGATCAGGATATATTAATTTAAGTGTTATGATATCGCTAATCCCCGTTAATCTCCCGTATCAAAGTTGATCTACTGAAGTGATTTCTGTACCTCAAGGTTACAACAGTTTGAGGCTGGGCTACTGTGATGTACCAGTTACATTGTGCACCTGCCAGCGCGTAGGTCGGGAACCCATACGTCTGTATGGTGCCGCTTTGTTCAGTAACCCAGAGGTCACAGTCTAAAGAGATAGAACACAATGTTTTGAATTAAAATATTGAATACAAATGTGGCGTTTAAAAATAGAAAAAAATCTAGGCCAGTAGCTGAGGAGATGGTGGAGTTAGGGACACGAGAGATCATGTCAGTGACTGAAGATTGAGTGAGTGACACTTCCAATCTTTGTCTCACTTGGTACACATGATAACTACATGTGTCGATCACCTGGTACACACCTGTAGCACCTACACATGTCACTCACATGGTACACATCTGACACCTACATGTGTCACTGACCTAGTACACATCTGTAGCACCTACATGTGTCACTAACCTAGTACACATCTGTAGCACCTACATGTGTCACTGACCTAGTACACACGTGTCACTGACCTGGTACACATCTGTAACTCCCAGGTGTGTTGACACAGCTTTCAGTCTTGGTGCAGATGCTCGTGTTCTTGCACTCGTCAATGTCCACGGTGCAGTTGCTGCTTGACCATCCCACCCTGCACGTGCAGCGGCCGTCGGTGTTGTTGCAGTTCACGGCGTTGCTGCTGTTGCAGAGACACGGACTGGAGCAGTTGTCCAGCCCGTAGTAGAAACTTGGGCAGTCTGGAAGATCGACCAATATGAGTACAACAATTGATATTTGTTAGGTCGTAATTCACCATCCAAAAGTTGAATGTTGTGGTTTGATATTTTATAGCTTTAATTTGTGAGAAATAGCAAATATAATGTTCGTTTATGATGAGGTGAAAATTGGGAAATCGGATGTCAACATGGAGTTTTGAAGTAATTACCTCAAACACCCGCATAACATCACCTACCGTAAGCCTGTACCGTCCCATTGAACCCCTACCGTAAGCCTGTACCGTCCCATTAATCACAAGATGACCTACCGTAAGCCTGTACCGTGCCATTGAAGCCCTACCGTAAGCCTGTACTGTCCCATTGATGACCTACCGTAAGCCTGTACCGTGCCATTGATGACCTACCGTAAGCCTGTACCGTCCCATTGATGACCTACCGTAAGCCTGTACCGTCCCATTAATGACCTACCGTAAGCCTGTACCGTCCCGTTGATGACCTACCGTAAGCCTGTACCGTCCCATTGATCACAAGATGACCTACCGTAAGCCTGTACCGTCCCATTGATGACATACCGTAAGCCTGTACCGTCCCATTAATGAGCTACCGTAAGCCTGTACCGTCCCATTAATGACCTACCGTAAGCCTGTACCGTCCCATTGTTGACCTACCGTAAGCCTGTACTGTCCCATTGATCACAAGATCACCTACCGTAAGCCTGTACCGTCCCATTGATGACCTACCGTAAGCCTGTACCGTCCCATTGATGACCTACCGTAAGCCTGTACCGTGCCATTGATGACCTACCGTAAGCCTGTACCGTCCCATTGATGACCTACCGTAAGCCTGTACCGTCCTATTGAAGCCCTACCGTAAGCCTGTACCGTCCCATTGATGACCTACCGTAAGCCTGTACCGTGCCATTGATGACCTACCGTAAGCCTGTACCGTCCCATTGATGACCTACCGTAAGCCTGTACCGTCCCATTGAAGCTCTACCGTAAGCCTGTACCGTCCCATTAATCACAAGATCACCTACCGTAAGCCTGTACCGTCCCATTAATGACCTACCGTAAGCCTGTACCGTCCCATTGATGACCTACCGTAAGCCTGTACCGTCCCATTGAAGCTCTACCGTAAGCCTGTACCGTCCCATTGATCACAAGATCACCTACCGTAAGCCTGTACCGTCCCATTAATGACCTACCGTAAGCCTGTACCGTCCCATTGATGACCTACCGTAAGCCTGTACCGTCCCATTGATGACCTACCGTAAGCCTGTACCGTCCCATTGATGACCTACCGTAAGCCTGTACCGTCCCATTGAATCCCTACCGTAAGCCTGTACCGTCCCATTGATGACCTACCGTAAGCCTGTACCGTCCCATTGATGACCTACCGTAAGCCTGTACCGTCCCATTGAATCCCTACCGTAAGCCTGTACCGTCCCATTGATGACCTACCGTAAGCCTGTACCGTCCCATTTAATCCCTACCGTAAGCCTGTACCGTCCCATTGATGACCTACCGTAAGCCTGTACCGTCCCATTGATCACAAGATCACCTACCGTAAGCCTGTACCGTCCCATTGAAGCCCTACCGTAAGCCTGTACCGTCCCATTGATGACCTACCGTAAGCCTGTACCGTCCCATTGATGACCTACCGTAAGCCTGTACCGTCCCATTGATCACAAGATAACCTACCGTAAGCCTGTACCGTCCCATTGAAGCCCTACCGTAAGCCTGTACCGTCCCATTGATGACCTACCGTAAGCCTGTACCGTCCCATTGATGACCTACCGTAAGCCTGTACCGTCCCATTGAATCCCTACCGTAAGCCTGTACCGTCCCATTGATGACCTACCGTAAGCCTGTACCGTCCCATTGAATCCCTTCCCTGTAGAGCTGCCCTCTGATTGGAAGATGATGTACATAGATGGTCCGGTTGTCCTGACAACGCTGGGTATTTTGGAGCCACAGAACTTCCCGAGGAGCGGACTTCCGGCATGCTTCCCGTCATACACCTCGAGATACGACTTACAGCTGCCGTCTACGTACAAAGTTGTGGGCCTGACAGAAACATAAACATGTCAAAACAGGCTTCTCTATGTTAGTAAACACATACGGTTAACTTTTAAGTTAAATGTTAAGTTCTAAGTTAATTGATTGTTATAAATAACTTTTATTATTTTGATGTTAGATTTAATGACTTATTCAATTGTTATTCCCATGAGGTTTGAGCTCAGTAAAATATTTAAGAAAGAAATCGATGTTTTAAAAAGATAAAAACATGTTGGCTGATGTTTGACCTCAATTTAGATGTGTGTGTGTGTTGGGGGGGGGGGGGGGTGTCAGGCCTCTTGTGACGATAGTGAAAGTGGGAGGGGGAGAGAGAAGATAATAATCGTTAAACAAGTGTGACGTCAATTTTAAATGCCTCCCCCCCCCCCTTAAACCCATAGTTATCCAAATGATAACGGGTGGTCTAGTTAGACTAAAACGTGTGTTACAGTTTACTGTCGTGTTTATAAACATTTAACTTACAGGTGTGTTCAAAATTGACCATCGTGTGTTTACCTGAGTGAGATGACGTTACTTGTATTCGCTCCATTGACTAGCCAGTAGCAGAATGTATTTATAGCGTATGTGGGAAATCCCGGAGAGGTGACCAAAGATTTAGCCGGCCCAGCTGTGATGTTATTCCTGCAACCACCTTTGTAAGCTGCGAGAAAGTGTGACAGTTGGTAACGTAACACGTATATCACTACACGAACCTAACAAAAGTTGAACTTTAACCCTAATCGTAGCGCTAACATAAATTCCTGATTCTAACGCTTAACATATCGAAACGCATCTTCTGGTGGTTTGTGTTTTAAAACAGTCTCACCATTGGTCGAGTAAAACAGTCTCAGCATTGGTCGAGTAAAACAGTCTCACCATTGATATAGTAAAACAGTCTCACCATTGGTCGAGTAAAACAGTCTCACCATTGGTGATGTAAAACAGTCTCACCATTGGTGATGTAAAACAGTCTCACCATTGGTCGAGTAAAACAGTCTCACCATTAGTCGAGTAAAACAGTCTCACCATTGATCTAGTAAAACAGTCTCACCATTGGTCGAATAAAACAGTCTCACCATTGATCCAGTAAAACAGTCTCACCATTGGTCGAATAAAACAGTCTCACCATTGGTCGAGTAAAACAGTCTCACCATTAGTCGAGTAAAACAGTCTCACCATTGATCTAGTAAAACAGTCTCACCATTGGTCGAATAAAACAGTCTCACCATTGATCCAGTAAAACAGTCTCACCATTGATCCAGTAAAACAGTCTCACCATTGGTCGAATAAAACAATCTCACCATTGATCCAGTAAAACAGTCTCACCATTGGTCGAATAAAACAGTCTCACCATTGGTCGAGTAAAACAGTCTCACCATTGGTCGAGTAAAACAGTCTCACCATTTGTCCAGTAAAACAGTCTCACCATTGGTCGAGTAAAACAGTCTCACCATGAGTCCAGTAAAACAGTCTCACCATTGGTCGAATAAAACAGTCTCACCATTGGTCGAGTAAATCAGTCTCACCATTAGTCGAATAAAACAGTCTCACCATTGGTCGAGTAAAACAGTCTCACCATTAGTCGAGTAAAACAGTCTCACCATGAGTCCAGTAAAACAGTCTCACCATTGGTCGAATAAAACAGTCTCACCATTGGTCGAGTAAATCAGTCTCACCATTAGTCGAGTAAAACAGTCTCACCATTTGTCCAGTAAAACAGTCTTACCATTAGTCGAGTAAAACAGTCTCACCATTAGTCGAGTAAAACAATCTCACCATTAGTCGAGTATAACAGTCTCATTTTGGTCCCGTTAAACAGTCTCACCATTAGTCGAGTAAAACAGTCTCACCATTAGTCGAGTAAAACAGTCTTACCATTAGTCGAGTTTAACAGTCTCATATTGGTCCCGTAAAACAGTCTCACCATTAGTCGAGTAAAACAGTCTCACTATTAGTCGAGTAAAACAGTCTAACCATTAGTCGAGTATAACAGTCTCATATTGGTCCCGTAAAACAGTCTCACCATTAGTCGAGTAAAACAGTCTCACTATTGGTCGAATAAAACAGTCTCACCATTGGTCGAGTAAACAGTCTCACCATTAGTCGAGTAAAACAATCTCACCATTAGTCGAGTATAACAGTCTCATTTTGGTCCCGTAAAACAGTCTCACCATTAGTCGAGTAAAACAGTCTCACCATTAGTCGAGTAAAACAGTCTTACCATTAGTCGAGTTTAACAGTCTCATATTGGTCCCGTAAAACAGTCTCACCATTAGTCGAGTAAAACAGTCTCACTATTAGTCGAGTAAAACAGTCTAACCATTAGTCGAGTATAACAGTCTCATATTGGTCCCGTAAAACAGTCTCACCATTAGTCGAGTAAAACAGTCTCACTATTGGTCGAATAAAACAGTCTCACCATTGGTCGAGTAAACAGTCTCACCATTGGTCGAATAAAACAGTCTCACCATTAGTCGAGTAAAACAGTCTCACTATTGGTCGAATAAAACAGTCTCACCATTAGTCGAGTAAAACAGTCTCACCATTGGTCGAGTAAAACAGTCTCACCATTGGTCGAGTAAAACAGTCTCACCATTGGTGATGTAAAACAGTCTCACCACTGGTGATGTAAAACAGTCTCACCATTGGTCGAATAAAACAGTCTCACCATTGGTCGAGTAAATCAGTCTCACCATTAGTCGAGTAAAACAGTCTCACCATTGGTCGAGTAAAACAGTCTCACCATTGGTCGAGTAAAACAGTCTCACCATTGGTCGAGTAAAACAGTCTCACCATTGGTCGAGTAAAACAGTCTCACCATTGGTGATGTAAAACGGTCTCACCATTGGTGATGTAAAACAGTCTCACCATTGGTGATGTAAAACAGTCTCACCATTGGTCGAGTAAAACAGTCTCACCATTGGTCGAGTAAAACAGTCTCACCATTGGTCGAGTAAAACAGTCTCACCATTAGTCGAGTAAAACAGTCTCACCATTGGTCCAGTAAAACAATCTCACCATTAGTCGAGTAAAACAGTCTCACCATTGGTCCAGTAAAACAGTCTCACCATTAGTCGAGTAAAACAGTCTCACCATTGATCCAGTAAAACCGTCTCACCATTAGTCGAGTAAAAGTCTCACCATTGGTGATGTAAAACAGTCTCACCATTGATAGAGTAAAACAGTCTCACCATTGGTCGAGTAGCTGGCATTGACAAACCCAGCCTCGTTAAGTCCATCAGACCTGAAGGTGACGTACAGGATGTTGCTGGTGGACCTGACGATGCCCTTGTAGCCGATGTTGGCACAGAACCTCCCCAGCAGGTGGGAGGAGGCGTCACCCCCGTCATAGACATCCAGGTAGTCGCTGGAACAATCGGTGGACAGCAGGTTGTTGGGTAGGTTGGTCAACCTGCGCAGACACCCCGAGACACAGGTGAGGTAATGGAACGGCACTTTACCATGTGATACACGTAACGGCACTTTATCATGTGCTACACGTAACGGCACTTTATCATGTGATACACGTAACGGCACTTTGTCATGTGATAACGTAACGGCACTTTACCATGTGATAAAGACAAACATGAAGCAGACGTATTGTTTAGTGAATGTCCTCTCTTAATGTTGTATAAAATATCAGAAAATAGATTCACATGTGGGTAAATGTTCGGGATAGAAAACAGTTATTAAAAGTTAAAGAAATCCACTTTAAGTTACTATCTGATTATTGCTTTTTCGTGAATCGGTAGCCCATCCATAAACCTAAATATTAGAATAAACAAATCCCTTAACCCTTGAGTGTTGTTGGGGCACCAAATATATGTGTGATGTGTCTAGGGCGAAGTATCGCATGGTGACGCCCACCCCTTTCAATGCCTGAACACAGACGGTTGCCTCCATCTAGGGGGTTCACCTTGGTCATGAACACTTGACCGTTGAAGTTCAGTTTGGAACTCTTGCGCCCTGGCCGGTGACCTTAACTGGAAGGCCATACACCCAGTGATGCCGTGTTAGCATCAGTTGTTTGATTTTGGAGTTGTCTCTCCTACATGGGCTGCTGTACCCCAATCCTCATCTGCCAGGAGGGGGGGGGGGGGGGGGGGTTAAACTCGGGGCTTTTCGGTTTAGCATGAGCTTTATCGAACCGACCACACCTAATCATTAATTCATAACAACTTTAGAAATACATTTTAAGACAAGAAAATGCTCAAGTGAGGGTTTCAGCAGAAATAAAGTTTACTTGAGTGAGATCGTTTTGTTGACGGCCACGGTCACAGTCCACGAGCAAAAAGCATTTGGCCAGTAGGTGTCTGGGTAGTAAGGGGTTAATATGTTTCCAGAGGCGTTGGTGTAGGCGCTGTTACACACTGCAGACACAAGAATAAACGTAACGATTGTGTACATTTAGGCTTATGTGGTTATCGTTTATCTATTTAAGTCTAAACTAGTGTGAGAGAACTGGTTTAATAAAATTATTGTACTAACTTTTTCACTTAAGCAACGAGTTTGATAGCTATCCGTGAATGTGAGAACTAGTACCGACCTAAAGGAACACAGGTATCTGTTGATGTTTTCTGGAACCCTTTAGGACATTCGCACCGGAAGCTGCCAGGTGTGTTGACACAGATCAGACTGTTCTGGAACCCGCAGGCAAATGGGGTCAGGCACTCGTTGATGTCGAGGGTACAGCCGGCCGAGTACCACCCTGGGTAGCACCTGCACGCGGCCGTCTGGGGGTCGCACGAGCCGTAAGTCTTACGGTCACAGCCGCAGGTTCGTGAGCAGTCTTTGCCGTACGTCATGTTACTGCATGCTGGGAATATTAACAGTTCAACTTAAACTAAAGTAAAAAACCTAACAGCTAATCTAATAAAACATAGTAGACTTCTCTACGCCTGATGTGTTCAGGTTTCTGATTTTCTAGAAAGTTAAAACCTTGGCAGACGTTTCCGTTAAGTTTCATGCCGTCTGGGCAGTAGCACTCTTCTGTGTAGAAGGTCCCGTTGTTCTGAGGCACACGAGCACAAACGTGCGAGCAGTTTTTGGTGCAGTAACTACCTGCAAGGATAGATAGAAATTACGTATGTGTGCAGTATTAGTTAAATAGGCTATAAATAGGTTGCAATATTTTAAGAATGTGAAAAATAAATAGGTTGCAATATTTTAAGAATGCGAAAAAAATCTTTAAAATAAAAAAGTATTATTTTCTTGAAAACGATTCCGTAAACAAAAACTGCTAAATTTGGGTTAAGGATCACCTTCACAAGCCCCTGTAACCGAATTAACCGTCAGCCCAGGTTTACAGGTACACTCGTAACTCCCAGGTAAGTTCCGGCACTGCTTGTAATCAGCCGGACACAACTCCTGCTTGGTCGTGGTACACTCATCAACATCTTGCGAACAATTCTCGCTGCTCCAGCCGTTCTTGCACACGCAAGTTCCGTTCACGTTATTGCAATACTGGGTGTTGTTTTGTGAACATTTGCAGTTTGTAGTGCACGTTTCATGCCCATACGTGAACGGCAGGCACTCTGTTAATATGGGAACATATAAGATGGGAACATACAAGATGGGAACATATAAGATGGAAACATAAAAGATGGAAACATACAAGTAATCAACAGCGCTAGTTTATTAGACTAATTTTAGAATTTGGTTTAATTGTTAAAGATGTAGACAACTTTAAATATCAGTCAATGGAAACAATAATTAGCTGGTTTGGGGGAGTAATATGGCACGGAGTGGCCTAGCGGTAGAGAGCTAGACTGCTAACCCGTAAGTCTCCGAGGTTCGAATCCGGTTTCAAGTCAGCAGACCGGCCATGAGTCCACCCAGCTCTAATGGGTACCTAACTCACGTTAGGGAAAGTAAAGACGGCTTGGCGTAGTGCTAACCACACTATCCTTTCATATGCCGAGGTCACAGAAACAGGTGAACTCTACTTCCCTCGCCCCACTGACCGTCCGGTTTGGAAGGGGAACTTTTATTTTACAAGAGCAGAAGAGGAGACGGCAGTTCCGTGTATTGAGAATGTTCCTGTACACATTCAGGTGAAACTAAACAACTCACGATGGACATAATAGCCGCCACGAAACCCGGTGCTCTGGTAAGATTTGTCTGAGGTGAAGGTCATGAGAATCTTGCTGCCCGTGGAGCGGATGGACATGGGCCACAGCTCAGGCCAGCTTTTCTGTCCGCACATCTTCACAATCAGGGGGGAGCTAGTGCTGTCCCCGTCATAGATACTGACGTTGTCGAGACAGGATGTTGTGGTGCCATACAGCGAGAAGGTGCTGAACCTGCGCACAGGGAAGATATACCAAGAGATAAACATCAACAATGACGTACTTCCTGTTTGGCTTTATTGTGTGGTATTGCGTGGTTGGGTGGTAGAGCATATACTGCTAACCAGAAAGTCTCGAGTTCAATTCCCTGGTTCTAGTCTAGAGAACGTCTGAGTCTACCCAGCTGTGATGTGTACCTGGTTTACGTTAGGGAAAGTAAAGGCGGTTGGGCATACTGCTGACCACACTATCCTTACATGCAGTTGCCATTAGAAACAGGTGAATCTACATCACCTGCCCCATGGAACTTGAGGTCCGAAAAATGTACATAACATGTTTGTTTCTCTTTTAAACTAACATTAGTTACCAAATAGTTTTTTAAAATCATTACAATCAGGATTTCAGTAGCCCGGTGAAAACCTAGATGTCAACAAATCCAATCAAAGCAGTACTGGCGCCAGGTTATTTAGCGCCCTAGGCAAAATTTATTAAGAGCGCCCCCCTCCCCGCAACTTTTTTTCGTGCCCCCCGTATTATCAGAGGCTTAGCAGCCCTTCCTGGCGCCCGGGGACAAACTTTCGATTTGCACCCCCCCCCCTCAAACTTTCAATTTGTTTTTTCCAACCCATTTTGGCGCCCCCTACGGTTAGCGCCCTAGTTCGCCTTATAGGTAGCACCGGCCCTGAATCAAAGTAAAACCTACCTGTCGACATAGTCACGTAATACCTACCTGATGTCAACTATCTCGTTGCTAGCACTGGTGATTAGCCATGTACAATTAGCGTTGTTGGGGTAATTAGACGGGTAATTAGGAGATCTCAGCTCACCAAACTGGCCACCAAGCAGTCCCCCACACGCTACAGGAGCAGGAAAATATTTTAAAACATGTGTGAGTTGCCGTTTACAATTTTTTTTTTGTTTTAAAAGTTATAACGAGACATTGTAGTCATGTGTTAGAACGCACATGTTGTTTTTTTTTTAAATTTATAAGTTTGGATTTTGGGTTACTAAGGATCTTTATAAAAAAACATTTTTAACACCAACTTGAATTGTCAGACACTAACTAGCTGTCAACTGTCTCCATAAAATAACCATTTATTCTACCACAATTTTTCGCTTCATTTCAGTTTCATGTCTTCATATTTTCCTCACTTAGCAAACCTATCATATCAGAAGTCTGAACCCCACAATAAACCCCAAGGCTTCAAAGTGCATCATTTAATATCAGCTACTTCGTGCCGCAAAGTTTTGTACTAGTCACACATGTATTCCAAAAACCGACCATGCTTCCAATAAACAAAGAGAAATATGCAGTAGAGGTATTTTCTGAAACAGGTTTTGTTGGATTTATATTAGGGTAGTCCTTCTTTCCAAAAGACTTTGACAAAGGAACATATCATTAATGTGTTCCAATATGTTAAAATAAACTGGGTTTAAATATTTATCAAATGTATTCGGTGGTCGCTATCAAGGCCAAAAGTTTTATACAAACTTGACTCAGCATTTTTCTATGATAGCGCTTACTATCAAATTACTGAAATTTATCATTAAACTCACTTAGGATTGCTTGGAATATCACGTAAATGATAAAACAATATTAAATACAGTATAATGAAAGTTAAATAAGTTCGTATTTTATAAGAATAGTACTGGGTCATGATATCCACATGTCTGTATGTGGGTAGGTGGGTTTGTATGTGTGTGGATGGGTTTTATGTGTAGGTGGGTGTTGTGTGTGTGTTTTGTTTGTAGGTGGGTTTAGTGTGTAGGTTTGTAAGTGGGTTTTTTTTAGTGTGGTTTAGTGGTTGAATGCTGTAACTTAGTTTCGTTACATTTCTGTTGCACACAACGGTTTAATGAAAAAGGAACATGGGTTTATTTTCTCTTTAGTGTAATCCCGCTAAAATAAAGGTTCCGAACATTTATATTTTATATTAGTTTTCAGTTTTAACAATTTTAAACAAAATGTCGTAACACTCTATAAAAGGCGAAAATATTTAAATTTGCTTATAATAAAGAAGATTGTTTGTTGGCAAAATAATATGTAATGTAAAAACGATAAATATTTCCTGTTGCAATTGAGATTTCAAAGATGATGGCACAAGTTATTATAAAAACAAAAGGTTTTTAAAAGAATTCTAACTTTATAAAAAAATGAAGCTTATTTTATAATGCATCTGAGATTTAAGCAAAATCTGAAAAAAAGCTATGGGCCTACATTACATTTTATATACTAAAACATTTTGGTTTTTACTCACCACTAAAAGTCATCAGATGTGAAAAATATTTTAGCTGGATTTTATTTTCATTATTTTGGGAGTGATCCAATAAAAAAATCGAAATTATAAAAATAAAGATCAACCTCATATTATATATATATATATATATATATATATATATATATATATATATATATATATATATATATATATATATAATGTATTTCTACAGGTATATCCTCGATTACTCCTCACCTGTTTGTGCCAATACATCAACAGGTAGACCTATCCCCATCAGCAGGAGGACAGAGACACATTGTACAGATATCATTCTGTGAAGGTGGCTGGTGGCCAATTGAATGATACAACAACAGTTTTTTTAATCTATGGCGTAAAAAATAGAAAGGTACAATATTTGAACCAACTTTATGTGATTAGGATCTCATTTAAATCTCTTTGTTTTTTTTTCCATTTTGAGGGAAAATAATTTTCAAGCAGAACTGTTAATTCAACTATAGATAATTATTTCTCAAGTAAATTTTGGTTAATATTTACATTAAGACAATATTGAAGTGTATTTCGGTATTTAAGGCTTAATTTTCAAGTTAAGATAAATTAATATAATGTATTGAATTATATGTTTCTTGCCTTTGATTTTGTATAAGAAATGTTTCTTGAGTCTTCTATGAGCCTACGTTGACGTCATACATTCCCAATACAACCGTTACAGTTGCTGATCTGTGCAGGTATGCAGTAGTCTCCGAGTCGCCAAACGAGACTGAAATTAATTTTGGTCAACTGTTACACTTCCCTGGTTACTACACACACACACACACACACACACACACCACACACACATGTTCTTATACACACACGGACGCACTAAAAGAGAGAGTGAATGAAAGGGGTATGGGACGGTGTGGTATGGTGAGGTTTGTATGGATGTGGTGAGGTTTTATATTCATGCGTGGTTGCGGCTAAACAGTCGTTTAGTGATAAGTTTTAACGGGTCACTGGTTGGTTATAGCTAGGCTTAGGTCTGGCATAGAATCAGGTCACGAATTGAATAATTTATACAAACAGCGTACACATGAGTTACGGTTGCAACTAAAACGCGTCAAAGTTGCCGCGCCAAACAATGTGTGCAGACGACCCATTCACCAGACGATACAGGACAGTGAAAGGAGTTACCAGCCCTGGTTCCTGTCTATTCACCGTGACCGTTGGCAGACGGACGGTACAGGATCCAGCGGTTATACAACACGTCATAGGCTTAAGTCAGTTCTCAGAATCGGACTATTTTTAGCCACGCTTTAATTCTGAGTAGTCGTACGAGGTTATTTCCCTTGATGTCCTGCTTGCCTAAGACAAAAAAAAAAAAAACATTCTGCGATTATAAAACATATAAAATAATAGACATCAAAACTACTGGCGACTTGTTTTTCAAAAAAAAATGAAATAAAAACGAAAGGTTGTAAATTTATATTAATAATTTATTTTAAAAGGTTTTCCTAACGGCTCGCCTGTTGATGACGTTTATTAGGTCCTGAGACAATAATATGGTGTACACGCTGACGTCACTTTGGTCACCGTGTGACGTCAGTCTGACGGCCGAACATTTTCTGATAACTTATGGAATGTTCCGGTGCGGCGCGGTCGAATGGTAGATCGTTCGACTGCTAACCTGGAAGTCTCGAGTTCGGATCTGGTGGGTACCCGACATACGATAAACTATACCACATCTGCCCCAAGGAAAGTGAGGTCTACAAGGTTCACTTAATTGTCAGACATTAGTTTTACCTTGACACCTCAACGCTTAAATTTGTACAATAAAGTGTTGGAATACAGTAGTGTCGCTGTAAAGAAAGTTGTATTCCCCAGCAAAAAAAAACAAAAACAAAACTAAAATAAAATAAAATAAAGAAATGAATCAAAAGCTATCTGCTCATGACGTTCTGAACCTAGAGCCCTAAAGTTACCATTGGTCTGCTGACAAATATCAAAACCTTGTTCTAGCGGATTTCCCCTACGTCTTTTAGCCAAGACGGAAACACGTCTATGGTGGCATGTTTGGTATGCTCAGTGGTTCTAAAATATTTGTCTTAATGCTGTAGTGTTGGGAGCTAATCATAAATATTAATCATAAATATTTCAAGGAAGGCAACACTGTTTAATTTCCTATGGGTGAGGTAGAAAGCCCCTCGGTAACCGCAAAGAGACATCTTTTCAGGGAAGCATCGTCTACTCTACCACAGGGCACTGGGTTCGACACCAGGTACGGTTTTGTCATTGAATGTAATGGCCCGCTGTGTCTGTTGTGTAGGGTTCTCTTTAAAACGAATCTAGGCCCCATAGCGCTTACTAAGGAGCCACGGGCGCTCTTGATCCCCCGACTGATGCGTCTAGTGCTGTCTGACAGAAAAATCTAGAAAACCTCTGACCCCTGTACAGCAGACCCAATGAACAGATTCCAGGTGTTGATAGCCGCAGGGGAACTCTGGGTGCCAATGGCACCTTTTAATCAAATGTAGTCAATGTTCTAACGATAATGATAGTTCTACGGAATGGGCAGAGACAGCACACATCTCGATTGACTGTTAAAGTGTCTATTTGCAAAAAAAAGCGATGAGGTTTTTCAAACTTTGAGAATCCCTGCTACTAAATGTACCCTGGCCCCGCTCAAGAAGAAAAAGGTTCCTGGAACTGTTTGTAACCTTTCTGATGTTACCTAGAATGGCGCGTTACATACTAGAATGATATATGACAGCCCAGACAAACATGGGCATGAAAAGAATTAGCTATTAGCACGGTTGTGGCGTGTGATCCGACTTAGAGCTGTGTCGGTTATGTTAAAATATACGACTATTCCTTTTATATATATATATATATATATATATATATATATATATATATATATATATATATATATATATGTGTGTGTGTGTGTGCGTGCGTGCGTGCGTGCGTGTGCGGGCGTATGTGTGTGTGTGTGTGTGTAAAATTAGATATATATTCATTAATATTTATACATTTTATTTTTGATAATTTTAACTGAATACATTATATTACATTTGTTTACTGATGGTGTTGAAGTCTTTCAGATACTGAGAGTCATTGATGGCAGGTGGCAAGAAATATTCCTGAAAGCCAGTTCACTTAGATAGAACCTATTTTACTCTTAGATTAATTTAAATTGTTTATGCGCCCGTTAACCCTACTCATGACCCTACCGGTAGGCTAAGGACAGGCAGCATGGTACTGAAAACGTCCCGAATAGGCAAAGGAGGTACCTCATGGGTTATTGGCTTCTCAAGAGTTAACCAAGATTTAAAGTAGGAGCCGACTCGATTAAGCGTAGAACGCCGAAATTTTTATGTCTGCATTTATAATTTTTTGCCCCATTAAAATAAGTCCCCTATACTCATTATATGATGAAGTACTGATGTGAAAAACGATGAAAACTGTTAAAATTTCAAGTGATTTTTTTGCACAACAACAATACTTCCTCTTTAGGCCTACTCTGTATACGAGAAAGTAAAAATAAACTTAGCATTTAATTAATTTAAGAAGTATTTAAAAACATTTAATTTCTATTTTTACGGTCAAAGGGAATAAACAATGAAAATGTTAGCTGCATCGCGATGCTTTAAGAGTTGCCCCCCTTAAAACGGAAACTTTATAAATTTGGTTTAACTAAAAACGAACAAACAAAAAATTAGAAGAAGAAAAAATTGCTTTTGTTTATTTTTGCAAATTTTCAAGAACAAATTTTATATTTTAAAATAATATAATATTGTTATGGGAATGAGTTTGAGCCCAATTGCAATTTTACTGTTTATTTCTTGGTTACGTCCCTTTGACCATAAAAATAACTATTTTGTCATATTTCTTTAATTTTCCAAATATTACTTGAAACAGCTACTAATTTACTAAAGAACAATATTGGGTGAGGTGTCGTCGTGGTAGAGTCGGTAAAGCTCATGGTTGCTAAACCGAAAAGTCTCGAGTTCGAACCCTCGGGCAGATGAGGCTCGTTAGCTGGGGACAGCCACTCTTCTAGGAGAGACAACTCCAAAATCAAACAACTACTTCCTTGTAGTTTGTTCTTGGTTGGACAAAGGCTATGGAAGCAAAGCCTAAAAGAAAAGCAGGCTGAAATCAATTTTTTAAAAAATATTTCAATCGAAAGTTTGTTCACTTAAAGAAAATTAATAATTTCTTTTATTTATAGTGTTAAAAGTTTAATAAAAAAATCTTTGAAAGATATTAAATCTTTACTGCTCAGTTTAAGAGATACAATTATTTATGATAACACTAAAATATTTCCTCTGAGCTGGTAAATGTGTTTATGCTTTTAAAATATTTAATAAGCTCTATCCCTTCGGTAGGGTCAAAGGGGATTAACAATGAAAATATTAGTTCTCTCGAAATTATTTGAAGAGTTGCCGCCTATAAAAAAAATAGTTATCATAATTTGCTAATTTTAGCCCCAAAATGAACATAACCTAACCACTACAACTTCTTATTCTGTCGTTTAAAAAAAAAAACACGCTTATTTCTTAAAAATAAGTCTTTTCAAGTTAAGGGGAATAAGTCTGAGCAAAATAAAAAATTTACAAATATTTTTCTTGGTTATGTCCCTTTGACCATAAAAGTAAGGATTTATTTTAAAAGTATGAATTATGTAGCTTTATATCTTCAATAATCGCTAACATAAAATTATAAAAACTATTTCGTTGATTCATTCAAAAGTTTAATATTTTCGAGATTAAAAAACCCCTTTTGTTAAAATATTTTACATGCATCCTAGTTCTGATTTATACAAAATAAATACTAAGGGAAATTGGCAATCCGAATAATGGTTACATAAAATCAAGATTTTAATACTAATTTATTGGCCTATATTTATTTTCAAAATTAGGGAGATTATAAGCTTATCTAATTATAATTTTAAAAAATGCTTAGGGAGAAAGAGCTATATCTGTGTTACCATTGCAGTTAGAGGGTGATATTTCTTCTCCGGTTTGAAACTGAATCAACTTTCTGACTGTCAGTTTTGTATAATAAGTATAAGTTTCACAACTGTCTTTTTTTTAAATCCAAAATTATTACACCAAGCATGAAACTAAAAGTAATATAACCAAACATACTACACAACCTGATAGAGCTGCTTAAAACAGAAACTCGCGAGAACATCCTATTATAGAAGATAGACACTAAAACCTTGTGAGTTGTGTTCAGCCTGTGTTGATGTGGGTACTGAAGGCTATTTGGTGCTATTTGTTATGGACTAGGGTAAAGTAATTGTCAGGTGTATTATGGGTAAACAAAAATAAAGTTTTCAAAACTTGTTGCACATATTTTATAATTTCAATCATAACGGATGATTTCAAATGGATTTATATTGTATATACATAATCTCAACAAGCTAGGAAATAGCACGGAGAACTGTTTTGTGACAACAATTAAATGTAAAATCTTTCCATCAATATAAAACCTTTAGAAAAATATAAAATCTTTAGATAAATATAAAAACCTGTAGATAAATATAAAACCCTTATATTAATATAAGACCTATATATTCAATTACATCTAGAAAGAAAAGGACGCTGAAATCGAAGTCAACAGTCCAAAACATGTTGACATGATAAATTTAATTGTACAATAAGAGTTAACAGGAAGAATAGGATATTAAAGTATCAAAATGTTGCACTTTATGAAAATCTTTTGAAAGCAAATCAACACTGGTGGTCACATTAATTGTGGAAACAATGAAAATTTAAAACGTGATGTTTTCTAAATATATTTATTCTTTAAAATTGATAGAAGTAACATAAAGACTTTACAAAGTGTCACTACCTGACATTTGAAATTCTTAATTACATTGTATTTAGAATAACTGAGTGAATAATTAGGAGAAAAAAAATGTGACTGTCCTCCACAATATAATGTATCTGTTTACATCTTCAAACTGGCATTGAGTCGCTGAAAAAAAATAAAAAATAAAAAACTTGTCAAAAACTGGATCAAAATAGCTTTACATTTGAAAAACATCTTTAAATTTTGGTAATAAACTTTACTTAAATACTAAACAAAGCTTTACCTTTGAAAAACATCTTTAAATTTATGTTATAAAGTTTACTTTTAAATTCAAAATAAAATCCTCATGTAAGTCTAGAAATCACTAATATTTTAAAAAATCAAATGATTCAATAATAAATGCATTTTTGATTACTGTTTCATTACTTGTTCTATATATGTTTACAGTCTCTATTTGCAAATAAAAGTGTTGGTGTGTTTTAAAGGTAAAATATTGAATCACAGCAACTGAAACTCTTTTTTATTTGATTTAGATATGTTACATGTTCAATGACCAATTTTCAAAACATTTGATGTAACTAAAATGGAGGTAAACTAATTTAAAAAAATATTTTCTACTCACTTCAGATGAGTTTAAAATAAGCTCTAAAGCCTTTCTTGTTGATAGAATCATCAGAGCTAAAGATAATGTACAGGCCGTTGTTTCTTGTGGTAATGAGAACAGGGGCAGCTTGACCACAGTAGGTGTTGACCAATGGAGCAGAAGGGCCAGTACCATTGAACACTTTCAGGTAATCATAGGGGCAGTTGTTGCCACCTTCTAGTTCTAATTCCATAACGCTGATAGAGACATTAATTTATAAATAAATAAGTAAATTAATTTTAAAAAATTATGAATATTTTATATCGTACTGATAGAAAGAACATAATTATAATATCGAATACTATACTCATTATATTACAGGTTTAAATAATTATATTGTCAGGATTTTGGATGATTACGATGGCAAACTGTCTCCTCAAAAACATAGCAAATTAAAGACGCTAATGCTTTCTCTTTAAAATATACAAAGTTTCTGTGTGGTCAAATAACTACCCCCTCCCCCCCCCCCCCCCCCCCCCCCCCACTTACCATGGCCATGACGCATACCCTAATTTGATTATATTGAAAGCAATAAAAACAGCACATTCACCAAGAAAACTACTTTGAGCTTTGTATTTTAAATCATACAAATTGTGATGATTAAAATAAACTGTTGCATGAAAAATAAACTATTGGCTGAAAAGTTCTTTTTGTAAAGTAACTTAAAACTATTTTAGGCATAATTGTTTTTACTCTCCACCACGTTACTTCCCAATAACATGTTTTAAAAGTTTATTTAACTCACTAGACAGAAAACACAGGTAATATTATCAGTCAACTTACTTGAGAGATAACAGGTAATATTATCAGTCAACTTACATTAGAGATAACAGGTAATATTATCAGTCAACTTACATTAGAGATAACAGGTAATATTATCAGTCAACTTACATTAGAGATAACAGGTAATATTATCAGTCAACTTACTTGAGGGATAACAGGTAATATTATCAGTCAACTTACTTGAGGGATAACAGGTAATATTATCAGTCAACTTACATTAGAGATAACAGGTAATATTATCAGTCAATTTACATTAGAGATAACAGGTAATATTATCAGTCAACTTACATTAGAGATAACAGGTAATATTATCAGTCAATTTACATTAGAGATAACAGGTAATATTATCAGTCAATTTACATTAGAGATAACAGGTAATATTATCAGTCAACTTACATTAGAGATAACAGGTAATATTATCAGTCAACTTACTTGAGGGATAACAGGTAATATTATCAGTCAACTTACATTAGAGATAACAGGTAATATTATCAGTCAATTTACATTAGAGATAACAGGTAATATTATCAGTCAACTTACATTAGAGATAACAGGTAATATTATCAGTCAACTTACTTGAGGGATAACAGGTAATATTATCAGTCAACTTACATTAGAGATAACAGGTAATATTATCAGTCAATTTACATTAGAGATAACAGGTAATATTATCAGTCAACTTACATTAGAGATAACGGGTAATATTATCAGTCAACTTACATTAGAGATAACAGGTAATATTATCAGTCAACTTACATTAGAGATAACAGGTAATATTATCAGTCAACTTACTTGAGAGAAAACTCAGTGTTGGCTCTTGCAGCTATGGTCCAGTAACAGGTTGTGTTGTCTCTGTAGTTTTGCGGGAACCCTGGACTCACGATGTATCCTTCACTGGTCAGTATGGTGCTGTTGCAGGCTGAAGATTTAACACATGGGGATTATTGTACACAAAGAGGGCTTATGTATAATTAAGTTTTTATTTTCACAAAACCAATATAAAATAACATTGAAAACTATAGTAGAACAGCACCCCACTAAAACAAAATAAATTATATTTTTACAGTAAGTTTTCATATGAAATACTATTTTGTAAACCTTAACTGTCATTACTCATGATATAAAAGTGGAGAGCATTTTATAATTATAAAACAATTAAAAAGTAATATAATTTATATTTATACTTTATAATTATAAAACAATAACAATTTATAAAGTGTTTGTCTAAGCTCTATTGATTTTAGTGTGCTAGTTAAATACTACAACAAAACAGAAAAAACTGACCATTAATCTCCAGACATTTGGTACCAGTGGCTGAATCCAGGCTCATCCACTCTGGACAAAGACATCGCTCCACCCTGGGGCTATTTGAGGTCACCTCACATGTGTGTGAACACTGCTTGGTCAAGCACTGAGCTAATAAAATGGAGTCGGTTGTCAGTCAAAAAATATTTTACTGATATTTACTCACCAAAATTTTACACTCTTCTATTGTATACAGTTGAATAATATTAATTTTTATAATTGACTAATTTAGTCCCATTGGCCAATGTCTGTGACTAAAACTATGTAGAATAACTTTTATTATGTTTTGAATTTTAAATTCATATTTTTTATTTTACATTTACTTTACTTTAAGGATTTTTCTATAACTAATTAATTATTTTAAAATAAATGTCATGTCTATTGTAAAAATGCTGCAACATAAATATAACAAATCAAGCAACAAATTTTAAATTGTAATAATAACCAGCAAGATGCAAAATTGAGGTAAATCCTTGTGATCACAACTTTCTTATATTAACAGGCCTACAACTTCTCAGTTTGGATGAAATCTTAGTTTATTTTGCCAAACCATGTTGTTTCCATGAAATTGAATCCTTAGAAACTGACCTAACTTACTGAAAATCTAACAAAACATAATTTTTAATAAATATGCTTGTCTTCTGACAGGCTTCGCAGCTAGTTAATAAAAAATGCAAAAGAACATTTTGATCCAAATTTTCTTTCTTAAATTTTTACAGATCTTAGCTTTTTAGATTTTCAAATCTTAAAATAATTTGTGATAGTTTTGTTTTCACTATCAGATTGACAACTTTTTTTAAAATTACAAAACCAATCTTACTTTCAGCTGCATATGATGCCAGGAAACCTCTTTGATTGCTTGAATCGTCTGATGTAAACACAATATGCAAAGAATTTCCAGAAGATGCTACTGTACCAACCTCACTTGAGCAGTATTGTTTGATCAGATCTGAGGTATCATCCACCCCATCATATATTTCCAAATAGTCAAACGGGCATCCTTCAATATCTAAATCTGTAAAGCTAAAAATGTGCACGCAATTGTTACATACTGCTGAAAAATGAGCATTTTTTTTTTACTTTATCACTCATCAATGAAATTGGTTTTATTTAACAGCCAATCAATAATTTATATCTGATAAATAACGAAAACTGATTACTTGAGTGTGACAATAGCATTTGGTTCCTCTGATGTTATGGTCCAGGTACAGACAGAGTTGTCCTCATAGTTTTCTGGGTAATTTGAGCTCATTATCTTCCCTTGTTTGTCTGTGATCATTCTGTTGCAGTCTAAATAAAAGAAGAAAATTTGAACAATCTCTTTAATGTTATAATTATTTGTAATACAAAGTTTTAAGTAGGCCTAACTAATAATATAACAAAAATTTTAAAATTATTATTTATTATTTTAAAATTATATTAATTATACAATTTTAACCCTTTAACTAATAATTACATAATAAAATTAGAAAGAAATATTATAACCTTTTTACTAATAATATTATAATATAATTATAAAGAAATATTTTTACTTTTTAACTAATAATATTATAATAAATTATAAAGAAATATTTTAACTTTTTAACTAATAATATTGTAATAAATTATAAAGAAATATTTTAAATTTTTAACTAATAGTTACATAATAAATTATAAAGAAATATTTTAAATTTTTAACTAATAGTTACATAATAAATTATAAAGAAATATTTTAAATTTTTAACTAATAGTTACATAATAAATTATAAAGAAATATTTAACCTTTACAAGAGCCATCAGAACTGGGCTTGAGTCCATTCCAGCATGTGCATTCAAACCCACCATCAATGTTTTTACAAGCTCTGTTAGTTGGACATGGGTCAGCGAGGCACTCATTGACATCAATAGAACACACACTTCCAGTCCAACCTGATTTACAGATGCACCTTCCAGTGGACTGTTCACAAACCTCGGTGTTGTCTTGGTAACATTTGTTAGAGCAGTCTTTTTCTGAAGAAAAATGTTTCTTTTTTTTAACATTGCTGTTAATGCAATGATACATTCAATAAATTAGTAATTATTTATAAAATATCTAATGGGTCAATAACCTGTAGAGAAAAACAGATGAAACTTTAGCTTGCTATTAGCATAATAATAGGTAGTTTTCATTAACCTAATTTCTACTTACAAATGAAATGTTGTAACATATTAATAACAACTGTTTATTAAAGAATGCATCACATACATTTACAATTGGAAATATCATTTGTAGGAGATAAGGCCTGTAATTAAATCTTTGTAAAAGGTCTAGTGCAATTTTTTAATAATAGTTGGCTTCTTATCTATAGGCCTAATCCTTTTTTTTTAATTTTCTTTGTCTTATATTAAAACAATATTGTAAATAATTGTACAATATTATGTAATTCAAATTTTTAATTTTTTTGTTGAAACTACTGGACCTTCATTTGTTTTTACCTAAAATGAATTAACATTCTTAACAGTTAACGTAATGTTACCTATGCATGTTTTCCCATCAACACTACTCAACAGGTAGCCTTCCTCACACTCACACTCGTAGGATCCCTCTGTGTTGATACACACTTGACTACACGGTGAACTGGTTGTGTTACACTCATCCACATCTAGAATACACCAGGTTTAAAATAAAAAACATTGATTTTCAGTTTTTAAAAATAAACCTGAACTTATATTGCAGAGATATAAATAAATAATATCCGTAATGCATCCTCTTGAATTCCGACTGTTAAAATAAATTAATTAAAAATACACTGAAACTTTAATGAATGTAAATCCCTGACCTATGCACCTCCTGTTAACGTCAACATAGCCTGCTGGACAAGGTCCACACACATAGCCAATCGTGTTGTTCCCCTGTTGTGTAGCGGTAAGATCAGTGCAGTTCTGTCCCTTAGCGCAAGGTCGAGATTTGCAAGCATCCAGTTCTGTCTCACAATCCTCACCTAAAATATTTTTTTTAATTATCTGGAGTCAGGTGTTTTGTATTGTTTAGATTTAATAGAATAGCAATGAAATTAAGGTTAAGTATATTACCTGTATAAGCTGGATAACATTGACATTTGTAAACTAAAACTTGACCATCAAAATATTCGGTTGTTCGAGTGGAATTTCTGTCACAGATGCCACGAGAGCTACACAGAGGGCAGACAATTGTGGGTACATACAGGATTGGTGTCCAACATTTACGGGAGTCATTGGCTCGCAGGCTGGTAGAAAATACAGGAAAAGAGTTGCTCAAATAAAGGTTGGTAAAAGGAAACAGATGTTTTAATTCAAAATTTATTCAAGATTTTGTTTTTAGCTGCTGAAAAAAAAATTGAAATAGTTTTCAAATGTTGAATATCAAACTTGACTTCTTATAACTATCTAGCGTTGAAAATACTTACGCCACATTGGTAAGATTGGCAAGATTTGGAACATAGCGCAACTGTCCACGCACTGACATAGATATGTTCCCTGACATTGGCATCAGAAGAATGTCAACTTTGTCAGCGTCAGCATCTGTCGTTTGCATCAGCAAGGTGTTCACTTTACCTTCATAAACCAACCAGCGGCCATTGACAAGCTGGGTTTTGTTCACATAGTCCAGCACTGGACAGTTGTTGGCTGATAAAAACATTTTTATAGGGATTGTCAGGGCCTATTGATTTTGAATTATTTTGACTTGGGCCTATAGTTTAATGATCAATGATTAAAAAATGATAGTTGATTGAAATGATAGGCCTATTAAGTATTAATGGACTTCTTGGTCAATTATTAATTCTTATTATATTTTTATAATGAATTATTTAATCTAGAAATCTTCCATGAATCATAAAAGTAAAAGTAAAACGTTAATTTAAGTTTCAAAATTTTAAATAGATTTAAAATTAAAAAAAAAAAAAAAAACCAACACGCGAATTAACCTTTTAAGGCTTTATCTGCTGCGATAATCTCCATTTGAACATTTGTGTTGTTGGCAAATGTTTCATTTCCTGTAGCAATGTAATCATAGACACAGGCAGTTCTAGTTGGTCCACAGAAAGCCTTGGCTTGGTTTAAAACTGTTGTATTTACGTTCTCTATAAAGAAGGGCGTGAACTCTGGGTGCTGGTATGTATTGGTGCTCTCCCCTGACTTGTAGAGAAAAACTGTTGTTGTATTTGTGACTCGATCTGTAAAATATGGTTTAGAATGATTATTCATTTTGCTGAAAGTCATGTTAATAAATCGAAAAGACACATAATTGTTCGTAACTTATATACTACTCTAATTGGTCTTAATAGAAATACTATAAGGCCTAATATTTATAAATATTTATTTAAAAATCTCTCAACTATAGCTTTCTACAAAGATCTACTTTAAATAGTACAATTAAATACAAGAAAGTAAAAAAAAAAGGGGAAACGATTGAACTTCACATACTAAAAATATTATAAATGCCATTTTAACTTCCGAAAAATTCGAATAAAATGAATGTTTTTAAACAGTAATTAACAAACACTCATACATTTGTTGGCAAACAGCTCCAAAATCTGTTTCTCTGTTAAGTTATTTGAAAGTGTGGTGCCATTAGGCAGCAGGAAATCATCATTAGGCAGGCCATTGAAGTTACCCAGAAGGCCTTTGGTTTTACTCTTCAATGTTTTGTTCACCTCAGCCACAACTTCCAAGTTCCCAACACCGACATTCACAGCCAGAGACACTCCTGCATCATATGGGATAAAATAATCTTTTGTCAATGTATGATATTATTTTATAAAGAAATTATCCTAGATGTCTCCATATGTAACGTAAATTCTACCGACGTTAAACGAGAAATATTTGTTAGTTTCACAATGTACTACATACTATTATTTAAGTTGCAAAATCCAATAAAAAATTAAAATCAGCCAGATTTTTACAATAACTAGATCTAGAGATCTAGATTCTAGATCTACATCCTCCAGAGTTTTATAATAATTATGCCTACAGATTTGTATAGTAATGTTATAATAATTATATTCACCAGCTTTTGTTTAATGATTAGGCCTATATTCGTCAGATTTCTATAATAATTACATATTCACCAGATTTTCCTATATATGCCCACATAAATACAAATCCACACAATCGGTTTAGAACATACCGGTGTAAAAACGTAAAACAGAAAAAAAATGCTGCTTGGCTAAATACTTACCACAAGGAAACGTGGCAACAACAGACACCTTTTCTAAACTGTTATCCCGCACTACATTAATGGAGTCCAGTTCAATGCTGAAGTCTAAGTCACTGTAGAACTCTTTGGTGAAGTCGATGCCGTTGACTTTAATCTCCATTGCTGACAAAACGATGAAGAGATATATTGTAATTTGAAACAAAACACAATTTTCAGGTTATTTAAACTGTTTTACATTTATTTGTTTCATGGTAATCTAAATAAACAGCAACTTTAATCTAAACTTAGCTTAGAGAAATTTAATTGAGATTCATATCATTTTTAGTTATTTGTGTCATTCTGTATACACACAACATTGAAAACTAAATATCTGAAAGAATATCGATAGATGAGTTGCTTGTATAAGCGAATTCAAATTGTTTTTTTTATAAAACAGTTGATTCTATTTAATGCTACAAGGGTGATGTATTTTGTTTGAATTGTACTTGAAATTCATATATCAAATACGTGCAGGTATGCAACACTTACATAACGAGTCACTGGATAATTCCGCTTGAAAGTGTGAAATATTTTTTTCTCTAGCAGCAAAGCCAGTGAAGACAGTGCCATTAGAGAAAGTTCCATTGTTCAATTTAAGTCTTGCCGTTCTTGCCTAAATAAAAGTGCAAACTGGTATAAAACTAATGTTCTACACTGTATATACATTTCTAAAAAGTTGTATTTCTAAAGATTGTATAACTGCCTAATTTAAAAAAAAAATAAACAAAAAAACTTTTGAATAGTAAAGCTCGTACATGCAGTAAGTCTTTAGACCAATGAAATAAACGGTGTAATACAGTCTGTACTTTATCTACTTTACCTGGAACTGAAATAGCTGTGACTCCACGTTCATCATAACAAACTCTCCCCAGGCATTCATCGTGTACGTCCTGTTATCTAGTGTAACTATGTGAGGATCTCCTACAGGAATACCTAAAGATGCAAAAAGTGGATGTATTTCAAGCTTTTATTTAACTTGCTTTTTCTGTTTGTCAGTCGTGCTTTTGAATTTTGTCTGTATGTATTGAAACTGGCGAGCGAAATTTCGACTACTTCTAACCGACCAATTTCTCTAAAGCCTTAGCACGTGGTTAATTTTTAAATAATTAATTACAATTTCCTACATAAAGTACTATTAAACGTGCATTTATACGCACATAAAAAACGTTTTGATGACAAGTTTATATGTAAAAGTACCCTAAAAAGGAGAAGATACATTATTTTCTTTAACTATATAATAATGAACAACTATTTTAGCAAACAAAAATAAAAGTGTTAGTAGCTTTTTAAATTCTTGTAAAGGATATTACATTAAGTACATGTATACTATAGCGACCTTCGCTTTTCTTTGTAGTTATTTAATTATCAATTCATTTCATTATCAATTCATTATAATTATATTTAAAGAAAAACATCTTTTTTTCTCCTTTTTTAGTGCATTATTAAATTTAAAAAAAAACGGTTTTTATGATTTTTTTTTAAAAACAATATGTTTAGCTTGTTTTACAACGCGTAAAACTACACATTTTTGCATTTGTGGTGTAACAAAAGTTGTTTAATTAATTGAATTTTCCATTTTTACTGGTCAGTATCTTCTGAGACTCATTTGATAAGAAATTTTCTGTGTTAAAATATTTGACATTTTTACTGATTTGCTTTGAACATTGTACCTTTAATACATGTAGCATCTATAGCGCATTTCATGTTTGGGAAAAGTTTGTAAAACCTCCCACACAGTTGACTGTTCTGGGACTTTTTACAGCAAGTATCCTGAGCTTGTATGTTGATTTGAGCGTTCGGGTACCATGGGTCAAGAGGCAGTATATGACCAGCATCAGCAGGGTATGTGACGAAAGATGCCTCAATTCTTGACTGGGACCAAACTCTCCAGGAACTTTCAGGTTTCGGCTTTTTCCATTTGTAACAACAGAGCTAAGGAAGAGAGGCTTTAAATTGAACTCGTTTTGATGAAAGGACACTATAAGCTTGATAAATATTTTTACTGACAGATTACTTCTTACTAAAATTTGAGTAGAAAATTAATGCCAAAACAATTTTACTGAACATTATTTTTCCAGAGTACCAATAAATTAAAAAAAATAAGTTGTTATAGTATTTATTACTATAAATAGAAACTCAATTTTCAAAATATATTTCTCAAAGATAATAGAACAAATACTATACTAAACAAACAATTGTGTCGTATATTTTATAGTAGGAGTGCTCTTGTTTTGGCACGGTTATTGCTGTGTAGTTGTTGACTTTGTTATGAGTCTTCGTTCACTTATTGTGTTTGGTGGGTTGTTAGCATACGTCACATTATCTCACACATTGTTTCATGTATACGTAGGTCGTGTATGAGGATAGTCTGGGCCTCACTTCAGTGTAGCCACCGTTACATAAAAATGTGTGTTTATTCTCGTGTAGTTAGATAACTATTTCTTTATGTGGGACTAGATTTTATTTATTTTTATTTTGCTATCTTTGTAGAATAGATATTTTTTAATGTGTTGTATAGGTGATGCAAGTATTTATATTTTCTATATTCAGATTAAATGTTCATTGTCTAATTAAAACAAAATCTAGTGCATAGTTTAACGTGTATTTTACTGTTGTTTTTTTTATGTCCCGCTGTGCTGCACTTAACTGAGAGCCGGCGTGTAAGCGACTTACCTTATTACGAGCATTATTTTCTAAAAGCGATCGCTTAGCCACCGCATTTAAACCAAAGCAATAGATGTCCTTGTCGTCTCCTTTGGTGTGGTACAGTGTCCACTGTCGACACAGCCTGTCCAGTATACAAGGACATTGGTACAAGGCAGTGATCTGGCTCTGGTACAGCCCATTTTGTACAAGGTTGGAGTTTTTACAGACGTACTTGTCACAGTCCTGAGCGGGGCTGGATCTTTTACCAACCTCAAACTTGATCACTTCTACATAGGTGCCTGGAGACAGAAAATATGTAATTGAAACATCTACTGGTAATCTGAGAACTAATACATAGGCGAACAGTGTTTCTTCTATACATTTTTCTCCGTGGGGGGGGGGGGCAAGGGTGGGTTGCACTTGAAACTTTAGTGTGTGTGGGGGGTGTATGCTGGTTAACGTATGCATTTTCTATGTAAAATATATACTTTTTTATATCGTCTGTGAGTAGGGTGGTTGTCGACTGATTCCGGGAATATTGAGCTTTGCCCCCCCCCCCCCCCCCACCTCAACCCTATGCCTGAAAAAAAACTTTTTTAACAAATGTGGACGAATTCATATGCCAGTTCTAAGATAAACTCTGTGATTCATATATAATAAGATTATTGCCCACTAATCTTTATTTCAAACTAGTGCACTCATGATATTAAATGATAATAAAGCAATATGTTTACAAAATAATATTTGTGTACATGCGCATCTAGCTAGTGTTTGAATGAATGCGAAATAAGCAATTCTAATACATTTTATTTTCCAAGAGTGAAAAGTAATTTTCAAACAAGTTTTGTAATGGTAAATGAATATTACACCCATCATTGATTTTGATGAAGCGAGAAAAATATATAAATCGTGTAAGAAAAACAAACATAAAAGTTTTTGTTCCATAGCTTACCTTGTGTCCATTTTAAAGTAACAGGAGTAACTAGCTGTGTAGCAGAATCTGAGTTAAAGCCCACAACCAGTGAAGGATTTCTTGTCAAAGAAGATGTCATTTGACTTTTCGGATACAAATAAAGCACAAAACTATTTTCTTCATCTAGAAAGGACAATTTAAAAAAAAATGTTACAATTTTCCTTTGTATGTCATAGGTGTACATAAATCTTTAAAAACTACATTTAAAAATTGAATAAGCCGAGATTAACGTACTGATTGATTGTGAGTTTCTTGGGTAGCCACTTATTAATATTGCTTGGAAGCTACTTTTTTCCTGTAAAAGAAATACACTAAACAAAAATATGTTTAAATATCAAATGTCAGGTAATAATGAGCTTAGCATTTTATGTAATAATATATGCCATAAAAGTAAATATAAAAAAAAAACTACAATAAAAAGTAACTTGTTGAATTTTTGCTATTACTTAAAATATAAAAGAAACCAAACCTTTGCACCAAATATTTCAATGTTTTTCCAAGTCGCAACAAGTACTTTGAAAATCTCAAAATTATCCACATTAAGATAAATTTTTAGATCTTTGACTGCTCTCTCAAAGACTTGTGCTTTAGCTGGTGACTGGAACTGTGCAGGTTCGGAGAAGTCAGTCGGCTCACACTTCTCATACAAGTGGTAGTAGACTTCACCTTTCGTTTGGTCTGTCTTCGTCCAAAATGGTGCCAGAAGTCTATACCCAGATGATTTTGTCAAATTCAAGTCGGGGTCAGCAGAGAGGTCAGGGTCTCCAAATTTGATGACCCCATTGCTGAAGATCTAAGAAACAAATCAACATTTGGAAAACAATCTGAAATACCAAGTTTTAAACAACAAATACAAACGTTGCTGCCCTCTACTATTACAATATATCCAGAGGCGTAGCGAGGGGTGGGGGGGGGGGAACATATGTCCCCGGGCGCCGACTTTAGGGGGCGCCAAAATGGGTTGAAAAAACAAATTGAAAGTTTGAAGGGGGATGCAATGCAAAAGTCTGAGGGGGGGGGGTGCAAGTTTGTCCCCGGGCGCCGGGAAGGGTCGCTACGCCTTTGAATATATCCATCAATTGTAGCCTACTATGTCTTCAATACAAACACATTCCGTACATAAGCTTCGGTTTCCAGTTTGCTCCCGAAAGGCATTCCTGTTCCAAGTTTGATTGGCAGACTGGTGTAGTAATATGGACTTGTTGGTGGTTTTATCAAATTCGTTGAAAGACTTAAATCATTCACAGATAAGCCATTGGGATAAAAAGATACTAAAATGATAAAAGTAATAGTAATCAATCAAATTACATTCTTCAAAAGAAAGTAGATTTTAGAGTGTCATAAATTGTGTATCATTAACAAATTAAGTTCATTAAGATATTCTACAGTATTCAAAATAAAATATAAGGAAATTCTTAGGAAATAGAGCAATGTTTGGTAGTCAAATATTTAATCATCTTAAAAACTAAAATAGTATTTTATGTATAAATAAACATTATTAGAATTGCAAAACGTTTAATGTATTTTGATAATTTAAAAAATTAAAATGCAAACCTGCGCAAGTTAAATAATTCGACATTAATTCATATCCATCTGGACACATACATTGATCAACATTATTGACTCTATGGCAAAAGTTGGAACACTTTTTGTTCTGATCGATGCAATTGCGGTCCTCTTTTTGCATTAAAAATAAAATGTAAAATTATATTAAGATGTGTTTCCACTAATTTGAATTTCACAAGTCAAACGTAAAATAGATTCTAATTGTTTCAGATCACCATCAGCTCTAACTGAACAAAATAAATATCTTAACCTCAAAACAAAACACTACGATGCCCCCCCCCCCCCTCCCAAAAAACCCATGTCTATTAAAACAATGCTTTACAAATGAAACAATCAATCAATATTACATGTTTGTATCTAGTTATATTTAACAGATGGTAAGGAATTGTAGCATTTATATTTTATTATATTGAAAAAAAAATATTAATATAATTTTTAACATACCATCACAGCTTTTAGTGACTGTATTCATTACATAGCCGAGAGAGCACTGGCAGCTATAACTCCCTACAGTATTGATACACTGAGCATTCCTAGGGCAGACATTAGAACTGCATTCATTCGTGTCCACGGAACAATATTGTCCTTCCCAGCCTGGCTTGCAGACACAAGTGCCGTCAGTATTGTCGCAGAACTCAGTGTTGGCTCTGTTGCAGTCACAAGGTGTTTTACACTCGTCACCATAGTAGAAATCTTTACATTCTGCAACACATAATTTAGATAAGATAAAAAACTGCAATTAATTTGTAAAACTTAATATTTTCTAATTATTACAAAATAATATATAGGCCCTAATTGAGGAACATTATATTTGTATTATTTTATTATGCATGATTTTTAATGAAACTCTAGATCATGTGAATGCTAACAAGGACGCTGAATTTTTATTCACATCACCTAGTAACCTAATTATTTTAACAAAAAAGTATTTTTTTTACTAGAGCTTTAATTGAGGATTCAATCATTCTTATAGGATTTTGTGTCAATGGTCTAGCTATAAATAAACATTCCAAATATTGTTGTTAGTCGTAGAAATTCTTTTGTACCCTACTTGAAAATATCATCGTCAACATGTTAATTAATTATGAAAAAAAAATTAAATCCGATTTCATTACAAATTTTTTATTACCATGAATGTGATAAGATGCCTTAAAACCTCTTCTTCTGCCATCTTGTGTTAATAATTTGATCACCATTTTTTCAGGTGTTCTAATAATTCTCGGTATGTACGTGCCACAGTATCGACCGATGAGTTTATCATTTTTGTCAAATATTTTAAATGAATCGATCTCACAGCTTGCTGACTCTATCAATTGAAATTCATCTTTCTCTATCCTGAAATTGAGATAAAATAAAGTTTAAGATGTGTCACGTTGACAATATTAACAAATAATGTGTCATTAGATAATTAGATTAAGGAGTGCACATAAGTTACTTGCAAAATGTATCATTTTTAATTCATAAAGTTTTAGAAGATTGAACACTTGTGCAGGTCTACGTGCATTAGTAATGAACATGTACACAGCTACATTTATAATGTTTGTTAAATATTTCATGTAGGGCCTATATCGTGTCAATAAAACTCGGTTAATAAAAGTATAAACAAATACACAAATTAAAAAAAAACCAATTCCATCGTCACTTAATAAAGGTACACAAAGCTGTATTTCTAGAACATACCAGCATAATTATATTCAAGGACTGTAAAATTTCTGCGTTTTAATCAACAGATGTTGAATAAACACACTTTTACCACAGCAACACCAATATATTATATTATATTGATACTACAATAAAATGACAATAATAAATGTTTATACTTTAATGTTACAACAGATCCTGTTTTTCCTTGAATCGTCCAGCTACATTGATCGTTTGCAAGATAATAATTAGGGTACCCAGCCGAATTAAAAAAACCAATGTCTGCAGTGTATGTGAAATCACAGGCTTTTTGGAAAAAAAAAACAAATAATTTACTATTTTACAAATATTTTATATATATATATATATATATATATATATATATATATATATATATATATATATATATATATATATATATATATATATATATATATATATACAATATTACATTTCTAACTATATGCCTAAATAATTTTACAGCTCGATCTGCATTTATATCTCTGACCATTATTGTGTTAAAATATTTAAAAGTCAAAGTTTTTGTCAAATTTGTTTAGATGTCTTATCACGTTAAATTCAAATCAAATCAATGACTAAAATATGGATTTAGCTCGGCGGTGAAAGCACATCTTGTTACAATATCGGTGAGCGAAGTTAGTTTTATGGTTTTATGGTTATTGTAGGATCGAACGGTATTATGAACAGGGTACTGTTCAGTTTAGGCAAGCAACCTACTGATGGTAGTATTGACATGATACGTCTGACTATGATTTTTTGCACTCTAAACGATCCCGCCTTTAATAGTACTATTACAGGCATTTTTGATCATGAGCATTAATCTAATGAATTGTTTTATCAGAAATCTATATTTCGGTGTCGTTTCCATGCATAAGCCTAATGCACTAAAAACGTATGTAGAAACTAAATGTAAGCAAACATACAAACATACCTGGTAAACAATAATATCCCCAGACTACGTTAACACAAGTCTGGGTCAACTTGCATGTTTTTGGATTCTGACATTCATCAATGTCTATCTCACAATGTCGTCCCTCAAAATAGGCGTTACAGGAACAGTTGCCATCCACATTATCACAGTACCAGGCGTGGCCACTACAGTTACAAGCGTTGTCACAGTTGTCTATACCATACATCCCTGGTGCACATGCTGTAGCAGAAACAAGAATGACCATTCATGATTCAATTAGAACTCTCTAAATTTATCAATTGATGGTGTGTTTTTTAAACGGTGAGCTTAGAAGAATGAAGATTTTATAGCCTTGAAATAACTACAATATTCGTCATTGCCTAATCAAATATTAAGTTATTAAGTAGTAATTAACCCTCCTCAATGGAACATATTAATACAAGCCGTAATATTTATAAAGAATTTTAAATGACATGCTCACATGGTTTTACTTACTGTGTGCATGCACTGTTCCATTAAATCCTTGACCAAAAGGTTGATCATAAAAAGTTGGTTTAGTGGCTATTGTCATGTATGACCCGGTTGATCTGATGACTTTTGGGATATAAGTGCCACAAGCATACCCCACCTGTGACCGTGGCATCCCCAGAACATTAGTTGTCACGACTTGAATGCAGGCGGAGGGATCCAGATGAAAATCTTCAACACTTTGTGAAATAAATAAAGCAATGTACGTTCACTAGATAAGTATAACCAAAATACTTCTGTATATAAAAAAATCTTAGTTCTCTTTAAGGGGACAAAATAAATATTTGTATTCTCCTTATTAGAATTACATTGTTTATATTGCTTTAAAATTTTAGTTTTTTTTTCTTTGATAGGCATGTGGAAAAAGGTAACCAAATTACATTACACATAAATATAACATTTTGACACACCCATTACCCCAAATAACCAAATATCTTTAGATCAGTATCCCAAGTTTATACTTATATAACATTTCTAATAACTTATTTCATCAAAGAACAAGAACTAATTTTGTAACATAACTTACAAAATCAATTATTGATGTTATATTATTTTTAAAAAACAATCACTTGTTTACAAGAATTTTTCAAAAATTCCAAATAGCCTTCAAATATGTAAGCAGCATGTATCAGCCCATTCACTAAACTATTCAAAAGTGAAAACTAAAAAAATAAACTGGGAGTGATCTCCCCTAAACTTTCTCGAATATTCTTATATAAAATAACCGCGAATGGCAACTCTGGAAATCGCTGAAAAGTTGATACAGAACTACAAATTCGATTCATCAACCTAGCTGTAACAGTACTCAGGTTATCGTGTTCACAGACACATACATACACACACATACACATGCAGACATATACGAGAAAGTAAAAATAAAAAATTAAGAAAATCATAGGCTGTGTTTTAGACCATTTCTTTTTACTTTCTCGTATACGAAGTATAGAGGAAGTATTGCTAAAAAAAACGAGATTTTTACAAATCTTGACGTTTTACACCTCCCTCAGTCGGAAAAACACAGTTTTCCAATTTTGTCCGTATGTCTCCGTGTGTGTATGTGTGTCTGTGAATACGAGTAATTTCTGTTGACCGTAAGTAGTAATTTACGCTATTTCCGAATTCGAAAAAAAAGAATATGAATTTATAAAGCACTATTATTCCGCACTATTTTACTGATATTCTTTGCGGTTCACATGGTGCGCAATTTTTTTTCTACGAGATTTTGTTCTATTTTTAAAAGTTTAAATAATTAAAAATTGGTTAAAAATCATGTCTTTACCCCGAGTTGCTATCCGCCCTGGAGTTATATAAGAATATTCGAGAAAGCTTAGAGAAGATCACTCCCGTTTTATTCTAAATCATCACCCTACAAATATCCCAATCATAAGCATCTTCGTTCGTTTGCTATAATAATAATATGTCTATTGTAAATATATTTACTAATTTAATTTTCACTTCTAGGTATAATATTTCATCAAGATGTTTCATGTGAAATTTATGAAAAACATACCGAAGTGTGATCACAGAGCCTACAGGAGCGGTGATGTACCAGTAGTGCATGATGCTAGTTGTGAACCCCACGGGGTAGTTTGGACTGTTGATTATTTTTTTAACATTCAGCTCAAGATCAATGTGAGTTGTGTAGCTTGGTAGGTCTTGAGAAAAAAAAAGTAATAAGTAATAAGTACTAAAGGACTAAATGTAAATAATATTCACACAATTAGAATTTTTGTAAAGGGTGATACATTTTTTAAATTTTGTTTAATGCACATGACGTCAATTAACACTTTCAGTTTGAAAAATGAAAATTGTTTTATAACACCTCAAATATTAATTTTATAAATCATAAACTTAGACAATGAACACTTAAGATTTATTACACAATGGCAATGAAGTCTGTTATTTTTCTTATATATAATTTTATAATCGTTGATACACTTTTTTTTTTAATTTTACGTATTGTTCATAATTGAAAATTATTATTCTAAGTATATAAAATGAAAATTGTTTTTAAAGACTTTCAATCGTAATTTTTTAACTCATAAATTTAGACCATGAGCAAATCAATAACCTAACACTTGAATCCATAGAAGTATCGGTTTTTTTTCATTTTTTCTTATATTCCTTTGTAATCCACGACAAACATTTTACAAACATACAAACATACAGAATTGAGCTTTATATATTAGATTAATGCTACGAAAAATTTAGGTTGTGTTAATTTTTTAAAAATGAAGTGATGTAACGGTTACAGTAGCACTAATATTTTTGAGTGGATATAAAAATACTAACAATCGGTACCCGTTACTCGTGAAATATAGGCCTATATTTTAAAAATGTTATAATTGTTAGAGAAATATATTTTATTAAAATTTATTTATCAAAAATCAATGTGCTTTACTACACGTTGAACGATATTAGTGATAAGCAAAGAAATAAAAATTTCTAAAAATCCGACACATTTAATATAACACTAGACTACCCGTCATCCCTTGGATAACTGTGTGGTTTGGTGGTCATCCATAAAAAAAACATCACGTCTGTCACTTATCGTCACAAAAAACAGATCCCACATTCAAATAGACGTCACACCGCAGACGTTTTGGTCTTTTAAAAACACCTATTTCGGCTGAGCATGGGTTATATGCTGAGATCACAAAAAACAGATCAACTCTACTTCACCTGCCCAGTGTCCCCCAACTTAGACGTGTTTTGTCTTTTAAAACACCGATCAGAGTTTCTTCTAGACATCTCGGGGGGAGGGAGGTGAGAGGGGGAGGAATCCGCCCTGACCACACTATCCCTTCATATGCCAAGAACACAGAAACAGGCGAACTCTACTTCACCTTCCCCGTGTCCTGCCTAGTCCCGATAGACAACTTTATATTAACATCTATAAAAAAAATCATGTGACGTCACTATTCACTCAAAGTAAAATCGTTTTTCTAAACTTTTAAAATTAATGTGGTTAATCTACCAATGAATAAATTTGTGATAAACAGTCTGTCTGAAAACAAAAATCGTTCTCTACCTACATACTATTTTACAGCTCTCCACATAGAGCATATTCTCTCCAGTAGTCAATCAGACAAACAAAAAACAAACAAACAAATAAATATTCAAACATGTAAACAAACTTGAGTTTTAGTAGTATAGAGATAAGCTACTAATACCTATTAGAAAAATTAAAACAAAATTATATACATTATTAGTCAACACAAAACCATATTGCATGTCCCTACTAATTTAGCGACTTCAATTATTCCGTTAAAAACCCGACTATTCAATGGTATTTTTGTTGTTTTTTAAACTATTTTTTTTTATTTTTAATGTTTTTGGTAAAAAAAAGATCTTATAAATCTAAATACAATTTGGATGCAATAGTTCATTTCTTTATATTCTAAAATTAGAATGTGTAGGAAGCAAATCTTACTGAAGATGACGTCATTAGTATTGTGTATTTTTTTTCGACATCCGATTTTCAATTCTACTTTTTATCCTATAATCAATGACGCCATTGGGTGTTGAAGTGGAGTCCAAATGGAGTCCTGCCGGTTGGCGTTTTTTTAAACCAAATCTGAATATTTTTATTAAATCTTTTTTTTTAAGTTAGGAAAACTACTTTCGCTTTTGGCTTCAAAACAAACTCAAGAATTTAGAATCAGAATTTCGTGAATTTAGATCTAGAAATCGAGATAGAAAATTATTAAATTAAAATCTAATCTAGATCTAGATTCTAGATCTAGATAAAGAATTGACTTTTCAGATTTTAATATAGTCTAGAATCTAGATTCTAGAATTATATTTAGATTCTAGAATATAACCGACTCGTTAGATTTAGTTTTAGAGTTTTAGTAACTTTTAGACTTTTAGTAATAGTAGTTTTAGATTTTAGAGGTAGATTCTACTAGACTAACTCTAGATCTAGAAATCTAGATCTTGATCTGATCTAGGGACCGTAGTCTAAACCGATTTTATTAGAAGAGTAAAGAAGAGGTTGTAAAGTCAAGTGACCAAGTCTAAAGAATTAATTAAAGAACTTTAGTAATTATTAGGCCTGTATAATTAGTTACTAATTACTAGGCCTATAGTAATTAGAATTAGATTCTACTTTAGTGTACTAACTTAGTACTAAGTACTAGGCCTAAAATTAATATTAATTATTAATGATACGTCATACACTCATACTTTAAGTTTAATTAAGTCTAAAGTTAAGTTATAAACAGTAGATCTAGATACAATAATAAAAATATACATACCCTATTATAACAAATCGTCAAATAGTATTATTTACTAGATTTAGGGCCTATGTATTTTATTTAGATCTAGATCTCAGCCTTATTTTAGTTAGACCTAGATCTATAATAATAATAATAGTATTAAGTAGGCCCATAAATTTTTTTCTAGACTTTCTTTTGCTTAGAAAGTTAAGAACTGATTAAATTAGTAATTAGGCCCTATGTAGTATGTATTAATCATATTATAGTTAATTATAGGCCCCTAATTTAAATTAGGCCTATTTAGTTATAAAGACTTTGCCTTTATTCATTTTAATAAATAGGCCCCTATTTTAAATCAATGCCATATTTAAAAAAAAAAAATCCTTTACCTAGTACTTTTTCTTTTAGTACTAGATCTCTAGATGTAGATAAACTAGATATTACACGGTGACAGTAGGCTAGACCTAATAACCGTAATTACTAATTAGTCGTCTGCTTAGTAGTTAGTCCTCATAGAGATAGCTATCGTTATATATATATAGACAAGTTATAGTGTACCAGTATTACTAGATAAAATTCTATATCTAGTAATAGCTCTAGAAATTCCAAATTTGATTTAAGCCCAAAGTGGGCCTAAAAATTGGATTAATCTAATAATTACTAACATTAGGGCCTAATTAGTTTAATTGTAATAAGCTTTGTTTGACTTTGTGTTACTGTCATTGAGCTTTTAGTTTAACATTGAAAATTTAATTCAAAGATTTAAAAAAAAAAATCAGCAACTTCAATTAATCTATATAGCTAGATTCTAGATATTCATACTGTTGTACAAGGCTTACTTAGTAGAAATTAAATATGCTATAATTACAGAATTCTGACCATATCACTCAGAATAAACAGATATGACTAAATAAGCCTAATGTATATTACATTGTTTTAGAAGAATTACTTTTGCTTTACAGTAAGCATGTATTTTTAGTGTCTGTGTACACTAGTTAATATTTATTTTTACTGTTAATGAAAGTATTATTCCACAGATGAAGCATGTTCCACTTGTAATAATATTAATAATGTCTTGTTTTTTTTACTTAGACCAATAAAACAGTTGTGTGGTTTACACTTAAAGTCAGTATCTCAAGCCAGTTACCCTTAATGATAATGTACTCAAGCCCTCAAACCACTTCTCTGGTTTATCAATTGTGTGCTCTACTGCTTGACCAATGAATCCCAATTTAGTATTTGTAGGTCATTGTAAAAATATATATTGATATATCCTAAATAAATCTTTTATCAAGTGTTAAGATTTATGTTATTTTTATTGAGTGTTGTTTTAATACGTTCTTTGTGTTTGTGTGTGTTGTTAGTTCAGTGATTTTGGAAAGCTGTAGTGATTGAGGAAACTAAACAGTGTTTAACTTGCAAATTTTATATGAAGAAAAATACACTGGCGCTAGACTGCCATTACTACTAACCCAAAGTCTCAAGTTAAATTGAGGTTTAAGTCAGTAAAAAGTCCCTGTGTGCACCCAGCAATGAGGGGTACCTAACTCACATCAGTGAAAGTAAAGGCATTGTCATAGTGCTGACCACATCATGGCTTCGAATGCCAAGTTCACAGAACAGTTGAACTCTTTGCAATCTGATCCATGGACAAACAGGCTAGAAACAGGAACTTTACAACTCTCACTGTTGTTTACAATATTTTCATACACTAACAATAACATTAACAATTACAATCAATAAACAAATTCAATGATTAAGACAAGTTCAATTTCTATTAAATAAATTAATAATTTATTAAGTATTTAAAGATAAAGGCATTTTATTTAATGTAATATTTGTCCCTTAATTTCAGGGAATTTAATTTTTTCCTGCATCAAATATTGTTATTCATAAATTGCAGACTCAGATGAAATCTTCATTCTAAAACACATTTGATTTCCTATGTTTTGTTGATAGTCTTAGTTAAGGTTGCCTGGAACATGTGTAGGGTACTTTCTTCTGTGTTTACTAGAGGTCTATATGCACTGATTTAATTCAGGTATTCTGAAAAATAGATTTACACACAATATTTATACTTAAAATTTTGTCTTATAATCATAGTTTACATTTTTATACATAATAAGCATATCAAAAATATAAATAAAATTGCAATCAAAACTAGCCATTAAATCTATAACTTCAGGTCAATATTGACAAATCTCTTACTAAATCTAAACTCTAGATCTAATAACCATAATTCAATGCCTACTAAAATAACTGGGTCTTGCTAGATTTACACATAAACTTCCTACATCTAGATTTCTAAGTAAGCATATGCCTACTACTCTAGTTAGTAGCAGACTTTCTTAATCTTTAGCAGTCAACTAAACTTTAAATCTACTTCTTAAATCAAATCTAGATAGGTTTGCAGTAGCAACAGATGTCAACATTTTAATTTTATTAATATTATTATTTATAATAATTATTGCCTACTAAATTACTAAATAATTCTAGATCTAGATTATTCCAGACAAGTTACTAACTAGATTTAGCACTGTTGTTAACTAGCTACATCTAGACTCAGAGACCTACTCACTGGATCTAGAATTATAGAAAAATCTTATTCCGGCTAGTCACTTCGTCATTAATTATTAATTATCATTAGGTCCTATTATTAACTTTTTAATTTATTACACTCACAATGTTGCATTCACTAGTACTAAGTCTACTTCAGTAACTATGCTCAACTGAACTACACTAACATCCTCAGTAGTCTACAGTCTGCACTTAGTTAGACTAGTCGTAGTCACTACTTGTACTTTAGATAAGTACTTGCAATCAGATCTCTACAAACAAACATACACTAATCACTAAATCTAATCACTGTCAAATTTTATTTAGAGGGATTAGTTTAGTATAAATCTAGATCTAGACTCTAAGTTAAGGAAGTATAAAGAACAGATTTAGGATCAGGTAGATTGAGATCTATTACTAATAACTATTAGATATCTAGATCTAGATCTAGTTGCAATATGCTGAAATAAAGTGTAAAGTCGAACTTGATAATCGTTTGTTTACTGTTTACCAAATCGTCCAGTAGGAGTAATGTCCCCTGGGGCTAGGCTTGCTAGGTCTTAGATTTAACTTTTAAAAATAATTAATTTACTTACCGCCACAAAACTTTTCTGTCAGAATTGAATGCAAATACATTACTTCCCAACCGTACGTACACAATAGACTTGAAATTTTGTATATTTGTTGCATATTGGGAGTTCATGATGAGTTTAAAATGTTGAAGCGAAGTCAAGAAACAAGCAGCCGCCATGTTTTTTTATCAATGGGAATCATGATCACAAAAATTCATTTAGTTTGAAAAATTTTATCTCTCCCTGGCGGAAGTTTTTCCAAAACTTTGAATGGATTAATGAATTAATATTATTAATTATTTCAAAAATTATTTTCAATATTTTATCTTGAATTAAAAAATTCAAAACACGTAAAAATCAATACTTAATATTTTGTTTTAATTTTTGACAGCTAAAACATAATTTTAGCGCTTGCCAATTAATTTATATAATTTTTTGAAAAATAGCATGTTATATAGCAAAGTATTACTGCACCACCCAATTAGTGTTGTGTACTTTACGTAGTTTAAACTTTTATTAATATTGTTTCATAATGATATTTTTTCCATTAGTTTAAAGTGACGCCATTCTTTTTGCCAGTGATAGTTTTTGTGCTACTTATTATTATTATTTCTAGGTCATTTTTGTCACAACAATAAGCATTTTTCTGGTTTCATAATCAAAGGTCTGTTTCTATATTTGAATATGGCTTTATTTTATTTTTTTATAAATTAAGTTTATACATTTAATACATCCAAAATATTATTTTCAACAAACAAACGTATCTTCAAGTTCTCCGAATATTGAGAAGATACTGATACTATAGCCTTGGAAAATATATGACGGATAGAGAGAGAGAGAGAGAGAGAGAGAGAGAGAGAGAGAGAAGCGCGCACATGGGCTTGTATATATTAGGATATTTAAATGTTAAAAGAAAAAACTTTTAAGAAAATTACCTTTTGCCCAGTAATTTGCTTTAAATCCCGGTCCGACCCATCGATTATTGTTAGTTCTATACTTGATCAACAGCGTTGGTCCAGTGGTGTAGATAACGTTCCAAATTTTTTCATTTCCACAAAATTTAAACAGCAATGGGCTGGCTGTTGTTTCTCCATCATACAATTTTATGTACTCATCAATGCAACCAAGCCAATTATCTTCTAATTCTAAATAAAAAAACCTATGGATAGAAGTTAATATATTAAGCTATATGGACTGTGTTTCTCGATATAGGCCTACCGGTAGGGGCAGAGACATACAAAACTTGATAAGTAAATCTAGATTAACTTTTAATAAACTTAATCAGTGTTGTAGGTCCAGAGAAAACTGCTTCTATTATATGGGTCATAAAGAACGATAGCCGCTTTAACAAATTAAAAGAACATGCAGAAAATAAAGTTTTAAAACATGCCTATGAAGCATGCTATAATAGACCTTAGCGATTATTGGCAGCGTACCAAAAAAAGAAATGTTGACGTTGAGATCTCCCAAAAAGAATTGTGAACCATCAGTTTTACTTTTGCGAAGTTGAACATTAGTGTAGCGAGACAAGCCCTTAACTAGAAAACCAGGATAACAAGTTGGCAAATAAAGCAAAAGAGCCCCTCATTTTGAACAAAAACAGATTATAAAAGAAGCGACTTAGAGACAGACCAAAGAAATGTGGCTTTCCACTAGACCCTTTGTGAACAATGACCTCTAGAAAAAGTTGCCAGGAAAGCTCTTGTCGTTTAGCGTTATAGTACGAACATTTAACCACTTTATCTACTATTATGAGTTATCATTGTTCACAGTGTTAAATTTTTTTGAATATTTTATATGAATTTAACGCTGTATATAGGCATAGGAGATTTTAGTGTATGTGAGCTTCAGGTAGTTAACTTAATTTATGTACATTTTGAGATTCGGTAAATTGTTACAAGCAACCTGTTCATGTAGCCTACATATCTTCTATACGCCTTTTATAAGCTGTATATACATATTAATTGTGGTGCTTTTAAAATGTTTGATTTGAAAATTTCAAATTATGTCATTAGATAAATACATGCTTGTACACTCATTAACTCAGCTTCAATCAAACTGGGTCGTTTATGCCTGTATAAAAATGCTCTTTGTGTAATAAAAAGAGAATTTACTTTAACTGGTCATAATTCTTTTAAAACGGCAATGGTTTTTATACAACCATGGTCAACAACATCCAGAGTTTTATATAACAAGACAATAACGTTGTAAAATAATGCGGAGTTTAAATCATTTGACGTGTGCCGACTTTTCAATTTAATTTCGACTTTGATTGCAATTAGAAATATTGGAAAGAAGAAAGTTGAATGTTTTGCCGAACTCGTAGCTGCAACTCTATTTAACATCTGTAAAGATACGAGGTCTTGTATTATCAAAACTTTTTTCTGTGCGCCGTCATTGACCAACAACGCGGGGCATAAACCCGATATTAAGGTGAAAATTCTAGAGAGCAGATGTCTAAAGTATTTGTGAACCATTAACTGGTACGTGGCTTAGAACCTTCCTGCTAAAATAGAAATACTAAAATTGGGTACCTACGTACTATTAAAAAAAAACCAATGAATAATAAGGAAAAACTTACACAAAACCAATTTTCTTCTTGGGGTCTTTAGCTGTGATAAGCCAGGTACAGTCAGCATCATTGTAAAAACTTGGCCAAATTGCACTAAATATAAACCCTACTTCATCATTTGCAATTAGTTCATATGAACAGTCTTTGACACATTTCGGTGGTACATATGTATAACCAACTGGACAGATACACGTGTAGCTGCCCAGTGTGTTGAGACATGTGCTGATGATGTTCTCTCTACAAACTTTCAGGCTAAGGCTCAGGTCCAAGCACTCATTGACGTCATCAGCACACGTTTTCCCCATCCACCCGGGCTTACACCTACAGGCACCAGTCTCTGTGTCACATCCTTCAGTGTTAGCCGCAACACAGTCACAAGAACGGCTGCAGTCTTTGCCGTATTGTAGATGGGATAAGCAATCTAAACAGAAGATATTTGATTGCGTACTATTACAAAACTAAAACCGGTTTAGAATAATAACATGCGTAAACTGTAAATGCAAAACATCATAAATATAAAAAACAAATTTTAAAGATGAAGCAGCCGTTTTATATTAGATATATAGGCCTTACTTATACAGGTAGATCCAGTCCTGTCAAGCACCATTTCATCAGGACAGTAGCATTGTTCATTTGCACACAAGTGTGAACATACCTTGCTTTTGCATTTAGAGCTAGAAATCACTGGTAAAGGAAAGTATTAATTACACTAATGGCAAAGTATTTTATCTCAATAAAATATTATTGATCACATTTCTCTTGAGATGTCTCTCCTAGGCTTTTTAATTGTATTAAGATTTGTTTTTGGAATGTCATATGAAGATCCTATACATCATTAAGCGCTATACTTTGCACTTTTTTTCTATAAGTCAGTACAAGTAACTTCAGATTAGTTAAATAAAACTTATATAAAGTAAGAAAAAAAACCATTTCGAATTATAAACATTTGAAAGCACTAAAAATTTAAAAAAAATTAAAATTAAAAAGATATTTTTATAGTTTTAATTTCGTCTTTTTAGTAATTCTTTTTAAATAAAGCACCGCTACATAAAAAAAAATTAAACCCGTTCTGCTGAATCTGTAAAAGAAAATTATCTGCTCTTCTTTGTACTTTGTCGACGCTCAGGTAAAAAACCAACCAGCCGTGAAAAAAAAAAAAGTTCGTCGTCATAGCTTGTATTGAACATAGTAATATTTTAAATAGATTCCGATGACAACAAAGCTAATGTCTAATAAGATTAAAAATTGGATATTTTTGCATTAGACGTGGGTCAATAGTGAGTTAGCACAAACACACAAACAAGCAAACACACAATTATTGTGAACTAAATAGAAGCTTACAAAAAGCACATACCACTTGTACACTTGCCAGTGGTTGGGTCTCTCTGTATCCCAGGTTCACAGTCACATCTCCTGCTGCCCAGTGTGTTGGTACACACCTCGTAGTCCTGACAGGGGTCAGGCATGGTGACGTCACATTCGTTCACGTCAACAGAGCAGGTGTCAGACGTCCAGCCCTTGTTGCAGGTACACGAACCGTTCAAACTGTTACACCAGGCGGTTTGACCAACAACACATTTACAAGTTTCAGTGCAAGATGGTGTTCCATATTTCATAGCCGGACATTCTGAAAATAGTTTTCAAACATAACTGTTCTTTTTAAAACAAGATACAATTATGTAAAATGTAATAAACATGAAGTATGAAGTAACAAAGCTGCACAAAGTCGAACACATTATTTACGATGACGGTGTTATGAAAACTTTTTTTTTTAAAAACTTCTATTTTCTTCGCATTTTTTTGTGTGTGTAATTTTAAAAAATAAATTAACACAAATTGGGGTAGGGGGGGGGGGGAGGGAGATTGGTGCGAGATGTTTTGGTCTAGAAGCTGAATAATTTTCATCAATGTATTACGAATATCATAACATGGATAAGCACTAGTTCGTTATAACTTTTCAAACAAACCGTGTGCTCCATAATCCTTAATCCTACCGAATGCTCTGAAAACCTTAAACCTACCGTGTGTTCAGTTAACCTTAAACCTACCGTGTGTCCAGTAAACCTTAAACCTACCTTGAACCTAGCTTAAACCTACCGTGCGTCCAGTATTGAGCGGTGAAGCCCGACTCCTGGTTGACGCTGTCAGAGGTGAAGGTCACATGCAGCTTGTTGCCTGTTGACCTAATGTGAGGTTTGTTAAGCTCAATTAGCTCCATGAACCTACACAGCTGGACGATGACTGGAGCTTCAGCGCTGTCGCCGTCATAGATGGTCACCATGTCTGGACATGAGTCACTGTAGCCGTCCAGTCGGAGTGGACTCATGAACCTGATAGGTGAATAAGTATAGTTTATTTAATGTCAATGAGCGTGCTACACGTGTATTTTACGGCTGTCAATACATTACTTAGTACAAAGGAGATCGACCAAAAGACACCTGGAGACGGGAACTTGAGAGGCTACAAAGATGGGCTTCACCTGGAGTGGGAACGAAACTGAAACAACAAAGATAGGCTACACCTGGGATCAGGTAGAGAAGCTGGCATAGAGCAGAGGACCCTGGAGAAATTTAGTTGGCGACCCTACCCCAGCAGGGGTGACGGGCAGTGATGACAATGAATAGATTACTAGTCTTTTTTTCTCTTTTGTTCTCAGTTGAAAAATAGGAGGTGGGCTCATTAAACTGAAGTAGTTATTACGTGTCAACATGTTATGAGCCATAAGACTTTGACTTCAGCCTGCTTTTCTTTCTGGATTTGCTTCCATTCAACTCAGAAATAATATAGGAGGCAGCAATTTTTTTTTTATTTTAAAATTTCCTCTCCTATATGGGTTACTGTCCTCAGTACACGAGGTGTATCTACCAAGGGTCCGAACGAGGGGCTTTTGGAGTGGGCGATCATGAGCTCTCTAGTAAAAATAAATTGCACTCGAAATATAGGATGGGGTCATCTATCACACTCAACAAAGAAGCTGTACATATTTGGGTCATTCTTTTTCCGTAACTCCACTTAATACAAAGCTCAATTTCGACGGAATAGATTATCGTACACTTTGGGGTTCCAACTCTCTCATGACAATTCCCCCCCCCTCCCCCTTTTTTATGGACGATCCTTTATTTATAAAAAGCAGCAATGAGATGTGTTTGACAAATTTAAAAATAAATAAATTTAACGTCATGGTGGTGCATGATTTAAAATCCTAAACGTAATTTCTACAATGTAAAGCATAGTAGTCTATTTTTATATACGTCTACACATTAAAGCATAATGTACAGTTCCTACAATTGCAGCTAAAGTACCTTTCAAAGATATACATTGTTTAGACTAATAAACTTTTAGCTAGAATATTTTTGCAGCGAATAAAACCCTTTAAAAATAGTTTACATAAATATTAAATACTTTTATTTAATAAACAAAGACGATATGGTATTTTTACATTTTGACTTAAAAGTTATTTTTTAATGGGAAAACATAATTTAAATTCGAAATTTTGACATAGGGGCATACATCACTTAGAGTAAATAACTTTTTGCTAGAATGTTTTTGATGCAAATAGAACACTTTATTTTAAATCAATT